ATTATTTATTATTAAATAGTTATGAAGTGGTCGTTTTTGTCTCTAGCTATACTTTTTGGCTTATGATCTATTTTGCTTGATAATAATACAACTATAAGCTATAGGCTTCCTTTGGTTGGCATTTGGATAGTATATATTTCAACTGGAACATCTAATTCATTTTCAGTTAATCCATTACTGATGGAGTTTGTTTCAATCTACCACCTTCTCTGCTATTTGTTCCACGTGCTTTATATTTCCTTCTCTCCCCTTTTTTGACATCTTATATGTCAAGTATTCTATTCATCCACTCACATCCTCTCTATCAGTTAGAACTATATGCACTGTTTCTATTCTTTTGGTGACTATCCTAGGTAGTACAATATTCACTAATAAGTTAACTAATGCCTTCATCCTTTTCCTGGAAACTACAATGAGTTTGAAACACTTTAATAGGCTCCCAATTTATAGGCTATTATCAGGAATTTTTAAAATTTTTTTAAATTTTTATTTATTTATGATAGTCACAGAGAGAGAGAGAGAGAGAGAGAGAGAGAGGCAGAGAGACACAGGCAGAGGGAGAAGCAGGCTCCATGCACTGGGAGCCCGACGTGGGATTCAATCCCGGGTCTCCAGGATCGCGCCCTGGGCCAAAGGCAGGCGCCAAACCGCTGCACCACCCAGGGATCCCCTATTATCAGGAATTTTAATTCCAGAGATTTTTTTATACAATTACACAAAGTTTTATTTATATTATTCCCTTATAGAGTCAATGTTCATTTAGATTTATTCTCATAACTTCTGTTTTAATCTGCCATCGACTGGGTGGTTTAAACAACAAACATTTATTTCTCATAGTTCTGAAGGCTGGGAAATCCAAGATCAAGGGGCTGGCAGATTTAGTGTCTGGTGAAGAACCACTTCCTGGTTAATAGCCATCTCTATGCTGTGTCCTCACACATCAGAAGGACAGAGAGAGCTCTCTGGGCTCTCTTTTGTAATCTCCTCCGTGGGGGCTCCACCCTCATGACCTAATCTCCTCCCACAGGTCCCACTTCCTAATGACATCACAGTGGAGGTCAGATTTCAACATAAGAATTTTGGGGAGACACAGACATTGAGTCAATAGCACCTTCTTTGCCCTGTTTTCCTTCTTGCATCTCTGACTTTAAGTTTCCCTTTGACTTGAATTTCTTTCATATGTGTCTGCTATTTAGTTACTATCTACTTATTATTTATCTGAATTATCTTTATTTTGCCTCCAGTAATAAAAGATACTTTATCTCGGTATAAGATTGTGTTAGCAGTTATTTTCTTAAGATCAGCATATTAAAGAGATGACCTCACTGTTTTCTAGTTCCCATCACTGCTCGTGAGAAATCCACTGTCACTTCACTTGTAAGGCCCCTGATGGTAATTTGTATGTTTTCTCCTTTTACAATTGTCTCCTTGTCATTGTTTTTGTTGTTGTTTTTTTTTTTGTTTTTGTTTTTGTTTTTATTTCCAACAGTCATTTGTTGTTTTATTTTTCCAGCTAGGGAATCACTGGGACTGTTGAACATGTAGCCTAGTGTCTTTCATCAGTTCTAGAAATTCTCAGTCATTGCCTTTGTAGCTCCTTACCCTCTGGTAAGCCAAACCATACATTTATTTGACCATCCTACTGCTTCACATAAGTCTTATTTTTTCTTCTCTACTCTCCATCTTTCTGCCTCTGCTCTAAATTCCAGACAGTTTCTTCTGACCTCTCTTCCAGTTCACTAATTCTTTCTTCAATTGCTTCAAATCTGATCTTAAATCTACTTAGTTCTTTTTTTTTCTAAAGATTTATTTATTTATTTATTTATTCATGAGAGACACAGAGAGAGAGAGGCAAAGACACAGGCAGAGGGAGAAGCAGGCTCCATGCAGGGAGCTCGACGTGGGACATGATCCCGGGACTCCAGGATCATGCCCTGGGCCAAAGGCAGGTGCTAAACCACTGAGCCACCTGGGGATCCCTATTTAGTTCTTAATTTGCTGTTAGTTTAAGTACTAGAATTTCTGTCTAGTTCTTTAAAATGTTTTTTTAAAAGATAATTTCCATCCCTGATGATTTTTTTATCCCAGCCCTTTTCGAAAAAATACTTATTTAAAGTAACCTCCACACCCAACATGGGGCTCGAACTCATGACCCTGAGATCAAGAGTTGCATGCTCTACTAACTGAGCCAGCCAGGCAGAAGCCCCCAGCCCTTTTTTAAATCATTTTTTTAATGAACAATACACATAAAAATTACCTCCTTAACCATTTTTAAATGTACGGTTCAGTGGTATTAAGGACATTCATGTTGTGCAGTCATCACCATCGTCCACCTCCAGACTCCTTTTATCTGGTAAAAGTGAAATTCTATCCCCATCAGATGCCCCCGCGTTCTCTGCCCCCAGCCTCTTGGCCACTCCCATTCTACTCTCTGTGAATATGACTACTCTAGGTCCCTCATATAAGTGAAATCACAGCATTAGTCTCTTCACTGAGCATAATGTTCTCAAGGTTCATCCATGTTGTAGCACATTTCAGAATTTCTTTTTTTAAGGCTGAATCATACTCCATTGTAGAGAGACCACATTTGCTTACTCATTCATATACTAATGGAACTTGGGTTGCTTCTACCTTTGGGCTGTCATGCATAATGCTGCTATGAATATGGGTGTGCAAATATCTGTTGAAGACCCTGCCTTCAATTACTTTTGGATATAGCTGTGGATGAATTGTGTTGCCACCCAAAATTCATCTTTTGAATTCCTACCCCCCCCACACACACACACTGTGATTGTATTTGGAGGTAGAGCCTTTATGGAGGTAATTAAATTATATGAGGTTATAGTGGTGGGGCCTTAATCTGATAATAAGAGACAGAAACACCAGGGAGCTCTCTCCCTCTTCATGTGCACACAGAGGAAAGGCCACGTGGAGACACAGCAAGGAGGAAGCCATCTGTAAGCCAAGAGAGGCCTCACTAGAAACCACCTCTGATGGCCCCTTCATCTTGGATGTCTAGCTCTAGAACTACAAGAACACAAATTTGTTGTTTAAGCCACTCAGTCTGATATTTTGTTATGGCAGTCCTAGCAGACGAATACAGACATATACCCAGAAGTAGAATTTCTGGATCATATGGTAATTCTCTTTGCAATTTTTTTGAGAAACTGCCAACTGTTCTCAATGACTGTGCCATTCTGCATCTCTATCAGCAGTGCACGAGGGTTCCAGTTTTTCCATATCCTTGCCTACACTTGTTCTTTTCTGTTTTTTGATAGTAGCCATCTCCTGATGGGTGTGAAGTGGAGCTCACTGTGGCTTGGGTTTGCATTGCCCTAATGATTAGTTAGGTTGAACATCTTTTCACGGGCTTATTGGCCATTGGTATATCTTCTCTGGAAAACGTTTATTGAAGACTTTTACCCATTTTAAATCAGGTCCTTGTTGTTGTTGAGTTGTGGGAGTTCTCTATATATTTAGGATATTAATCCCTTATTAGCCTAATGATTTGCAAATATTTTCTCCCACTCGGTGGGTTGCCTTTTATTCTGCTGATAGTGTCTTTTGATGCAAAAAATACTTTTTAATTTGGATGAACTCCAGTTTTCCTGGTTTGTTGTTGTTGTCTGCACCATTGGTGTTGTATCCAAGAAATTACTGCCAAAGCCAATGTCATGAAGCTTTTATCCTATGTTTTCATGTTTAGGCCTTCAACCCTTTTTTATTTAATTTTTGTATATGCTGTTAGGTAAAAGTCCAACTTCGTTCTTTTACATGTAGATATCCGTTTTTTCCAGCACCATGTGTTGAAAAGACTGTCTTATCTCTATTGGTCTTGACACTCTTGATAACAATCACTTGACCATATTTGTGATGGTTTATTTCTAGGCATACTATTCTATCTTTCTATGCCAGTGCCGCACTGTTTTGACTACTATAGCTTTGTGCTAAGTTTTGAAACAGGAAGTATAAGTCTTCCACTTCTGTTCCACTTCTGTTCCAAGATTATTTTGACTATTCTGACAAAATTTAAAGCTTGCATTTTCTTGGAACACGGTAAACTTGGCTATTTTATAGTCTTTGTCTGATAATTCTGATATCTGGTGTTTCTCTCATTGCTTATTCTTGGTGGCATCTTGCTTCCTTGTGTGCCTGATTTGACTGTGTCTTGGGTTTTGTATTTGAAAAATTATTTATACAAATGGCTTGAGGCCTAAGATGATGCCATCTTCCACCCGAGAGGGTTTTCTTTGCTTCTGCCTAGAACCTTGGAAAACTACCCATTGGGAGCCACCTTAAACCCAGTCCAGAACTTGTGTTATCGCCATCTCATAGGTAAAAATCCAGAGCACAGAGAGGCAAGGCTAACCTGCCTCATGGTTGCACAGCTAACTGGGTGGCAGGAATCAGCCCTGGGATCAGTTCTGTCTTACCACAGAGATGCTGCTCCCCTTCATCTGCTCAGGAGCCTGCTGGGGCTCCTCACTGTCTGGAATCCTGAGCATACACCACTGCCCCCCCCCCCCAGCCCAGCCACCAAGGCCCTTCCAGCCTCTTCTGGCCACACTGGCTCCTGCCCATCCCCAGCTCTGCTTTTTGGGCACTACCTCCTCACCCCACGCCACATGCTGCCTACTCACCTGTCCAGATCTGGCTCGGAGGCTAGGACTCCGCTGTGCTCTCCCAAGGTCCCTGATTAAAGTGGGACCCAGGCCCTGAGTACCCCACGTGCCCGACCCCAGGTCTGGGCACTCTGCAGGGCATCAGGTGCAGCAAACAGGTCAGAGCCTGTCCCCTGGGCACACAGCCTGTCTTCAAGGGGATGGAGCAGGCCCAGGTGTTCTATATCAGGGGCCAGGAACTGTCCGGCCATCCTGGGGATGCCCGGCTCAAGTCCAGCTCCCCTTGGAGGGGGTGCCTGGTGGGTCAGGCAGGGGAGGCCACCAGGCCCACCTGCCACCCCTAGGTGCCCAGAGGTCCCCTCTCTGACTTTCTGACAGGTGAACAATAACGGGATCATCTCCTTCCTGAAGGAGGTCTCTCAGTTTACCCCAGTGGCCTTTCCCATCGCCAAGGACCGCTGCGTGGTGGCAGCCTTCTGGGCAGATGTGGACAATCGACGTGCGGGTGATGTGTACTACCGGGAGGCCACTGACCCGGCCACGCTGCGCAGAGCCACAGAGGATGTCAGGCGATACTTCCCTGAGCTCCCGGACTTCTCTGCTACCTGGGTTTTCATAGCCACCTGGTACCGCGTGACCTTCTTTGGAGGCAGCGCCTCTTCCCCTGTGAGTTTTTTGTCCTGGGGCAGGGAGGGTGTCCACCTGGGGCCCAGAGTCTTCCCAAAGTGGCCTTACCTTGCTGAGGGGGGTCACATGTAACCACTGGTCCATGCCTGAGAGGAAAAACTGCTCAGGGATGGGGGTCACTCTCCCATGGTCACGGAGGCAGGTTGGAGGACGACAGAGCCTTGACCTTCCCCAGCCCTCCTGGAAACCATTTGCTTTATCCTTTATTCTGCGATAATACCAAACAACAAAGGCACTGGGGACACATCTCTCCCTTGGGGCACACTCTCCATACTCAGAAGAAGCAGGGGGAGGAACTCTCCCTGAGGCTGCTGTGCCAGCCAGAGGGTGGCAGCTCAGCCACATGGGGCCCTGGAGCTGGAGGACTGTGGTGGCTCAGAGCAGCCCTGAGGGACAGATGTGTCAGGTGTGCCCTCGGGGTCACAGGGGAGAGGCAGAGCAGCCGAGGGCAGGGCCTGCGTTCCCGGCCATGCACACGGCTGGGCAGTGGGTGGGGCAGGTGAGGCCTTGATGCAGGGGTAGGGGTGCGAGCGCCCCGCGGGCATCGCAGGTGCGGCCGGGGTCCCCGGCAGTGATGGCTGAGGAAATCGGTGCGGGTGGCTCGCCAAGCCTGGGTCCTCCAGCAGCCTAGATGAGAGGGAGAGCGCCAGCCAGCGAGGCAGCCCTCCAGACGGCCGGGCGTGCACTGTGGAATTTCTTAAAAGGAGGAAGGCGGTGGCTAGGGAAAGAATAGGGAAAGACGGGCTTCTTCTGTAAACACTGCGACGGACGCATGTTCACACTGGTGAACTATTCATGCGTAGCCCCCAGATAGTTTGTCAGTTTTGTTTTTCTTATTGTCAAGTTGTAAGAAAAGCACGCCGGTAGCAGAGAGAGACGGGCTAAGGCGGCTGCCGACAGATCGCTGCCGCGAAGCACCTCCCTCGTCTTCTGCTTTCTTGTTCATCACCCTAGAAGCCACTCTGGCCTCTGCGGCCACCCTGGGTATTTCCTTCCCCTCCGCCCACGGAGGAAACCCTAACGCCTGTCCGCAGGCCCCAAGATGTGGGCTGCAAAATGCTTATCCGGGCGACACGGGAACCCCTGGACGGGGACCCACTCGTGAGTCTGGGCTGGAAGCTGGTCCGTAAGGTGGGGGGGGAGGCCAGGAAGGCCCTCCTCCCCGCAGCGCCTCGGAGCAGGCCACCCGGGGAGGGAGGGTGAAGCTCCTCCCCGCACGCTGGACCCCACCAGCGCACCTCCCCGCCGCTTGGCGGTCCCATCAGCCCGCCTCAGGGCCCCGGCGTCCGGCTGTCTCCAGACCGGGAGCACCAGGTTTGCCCCCCCAAGGGGCGCCCTCAGTCTCCCTGTGGTTCACTGCTAAATAAGTAAAGGGCAGAGCCAATGGTGTCCCACCGTGAACACCTGCAGACCAGCCCAGGCGTGGGCGGCACCCACGGCAGGGCACCCAGGGGTGGGCACTGCCGGGCCTCGCCAGCTGGGGGCCGTGCCCGGGCCGGGGCTCCAGGGGGAGGCTGCTGCCCGCAGGGCTCTGGCTTGGCCCTACCGCGTGCTCCTCCCCTGCCGCCGCTGCGCACACAGGGAGGCTCCTCTCCGTCCTTCCGCCTCCTTGGTTGCCAGCGCTGCTGTCCTCTGTCGTCGGCCGGGTGTCGTCGGCCCTGCTGTGATGCGTCTGTTCCCATCACCTCGGCCAACCCCGTCATCTCTTCCGTCTTGCTCCTGCCGACCTGTAGAAGTTCCGCTTGAATTAAGGATACCAACGGCTCCAACTGCCGCCTGGGTCATAAGTACAGTCTCCACTTTGCTGTTGGCCGTGCAGTTGGACCTCAGGGCACTTTTTTACGTGCAGAAGTTTCTGTAGTCAAGTATATAAATCTCCTTCTTGGTTTTTGCAGTTAACAAATGTCACGCTTAAGGTCCTTCCTCGATCGAAGCAGCTCTACAGCCCCCTTAGGTCTTCTTCCTCTACGGCTCTGATGGTTCCATTCACAAACTTACTTGATGCGGGATTTCTTTTCACGAGCGATGGGAAGCTCTAATTTTATCCTTTTTCAGTTTCCTGTTTGTCCCGAGATCACTTCTTAAACAATCCCACCCTTTGCTCAATCTGAAATGACGTCTCATACGTACACTACTCGATAATATCTTCATGGAAGATGACAACATGAAAAACAAAATTCACTAAAACTGCTTTTCCTCGTTGCCTCGTTTTATCTTTCCCTCTTTACATTTTTTGTTTCACACGGGACAGTTTTGTGGATCTGACCCAGTAAGCACTAAGCCCTGTGTCCCTGGCATCGGTGGGTCCTCAGGGCCCTTCAGCATGTCTCACTCGCCAGGTGACAGCTGTCAGGGGTCCTGGCCTATGCCAGGACTAGGGACTAGGGACAGTGGGGCATGAGGTCGAGGCCATTGGTTCAGTGGCAGACGGCTGGCCATCCAATTGGGAAGACAGAGGAGGGGCCAGGGGATGTGGACCGTGCTGAAGGGGGCAGGCCCTTGCAGCACGGACGAGCAAGCGCAGAACCCTGTTCAGACCTCCCTCCTTGGCAGGTCAACACGTTCCAGACCGTGCTTATCACGGACGGCAAGTTCTCCTTCACCATCTTCAACTATGAGTCCATCACGTGGACCACGGGCACACACGCCAGCAGCGGGGGCGACTCCACTGGCCTGGGGGGCATCGCAGCCCAGGTAGGGGCCCGGCTCCCCCCTGCCACAACTGTCATGAGCTCATCAGGCAGGGAGACCCCCCCGCCCCCCCACGACTCTGCAGAGGCCAGTGTGAAGTGTTCTGATGCCAGTCCCAGGCCAGACTCCCAGAAACATCCTCAGGTCAGAGGCACCTTTGTCCTGACCCACACTGCCCTGTCCTCCCGGGGCCAGCTGCAGCCGAGCCAGAAGGGCCCCTGGCTCTGTGCGTGTTAACCATCCTGGGGTCTGGCCTGGCCTGTGGCCCATGGGACCGTGGCCAGCGAATGCTCCCTTGTGATGGGAATGCCCCCGTCTCCTTCCTAGCCATCCACTTTCTTCTGAGCTCACACACCTGCCCCTGGTCCCCCTGGGAGCCAAGAGATTGGGGGGTGAGCCCCTGCAGGTGTGTGTGAGGGGAGCATGCCAGGGTCCAACAAGGTGGGTGGCTGGAGGAATGGCTGGCTGGGGTCAGGTCCTGGCTGGGAGGTTGCTGGTCAGGTCAGGGCCAATGGGGAGGGTGGTACAGATGCCCCCAAACCTGTGAAGCTCCGGGGTTACAAGGCTGACGTCCACAGGACCTCTTCCACCTGGCCACCGCGGGGGAGGTAGGTCTCCGGAAATTTAGCAAGACCTGCAAACCAGCCCGACCTGCCCCCACTCTCCCCACCCGCAGGCCGGCTTCAATGCGGGTGACGGGAGGCGCTACTTCAGCATCCCCGGCTCCCGCACGGCGGACATGGCCGACGTGGAGACCACCACCAACGTGGGCGTGCCCGGGCGCTGGGCGTTCAGAATCGATGATGCCCAGGTGCGCGTGGGGGGCTGCAGCCATACAAGTAAGAGGATGGAGCCAGCGGCTCAGCGCTGTGGGGGCTGGGGTGGCATGACGAGAGCGGGCGGACCCTGGGGGCGGGAGGCCGGGGCTGGGCACTGCTGGGGCTGCAGGGACGCTGGGAGCGGGCAGGCTGCTGGCCAGGAGGGCAAGGCCTCCCGACCCCTCTCCCTCAGCCACGAACCTGGGCAGATACCGGCTCGCCCCCAGCCCTGCCTCTTCCCGGGGAGGCTTTGGGGCCCCAGCTCCATCGAGGAATCTGCCAGAGACCGAGGTTCAGGGCGCAAGGCGGAAGAGCCGGGGCGCCCCTCCTCGGGGCCAGGCGTGGACGCCCTCCGTTCATTCTCTCTCACCTGCATCGGGGCGGGGGGCTGGGGGCGGGGCCGCCGTCCAGTCTCCAGTGTCCCCGGGACCACCTGGAAGGCAGGAGCCCTTTTCACCCTTTCCCCCCATTTGCCAAGTGGTGCTGCTCCGTGGGATTTGGCGCTTGTCTCCTAGCTGGTCTAGCCGGGGCATCTACCCGCCTAGAGGGAGTGGAAGGCTCGGAAGGCGCAGCGCACGGCGGGGGAGTCCATGGGGCGGAGGGTGGTCCCGGCCCCTCTGGCCGTGCGGCCCTGCGGGAAGCCGGACCCTCCTGAAACCTCATGCTTGCAAACGCAGAGGGGGGGTCAAATGCGTGATTTGGCCCTCTGCAGAGTTGACCACAGCCCCGCAAGGGCCACAGTGAGGACAGTGTGGGGACCGTCCTGCGGACTCCACTCCCACCCACGAGGAGACCGGGGCCACGAGAGGGCCCTCTTGTCCACTGCTCGGCTCACCAAATCCCTGAGAGCCAAGCCAGCGGGCGGAGCCCATCCAGATGGCCAGGGAGGGCAGATGTGCACCCCTCCCCGGGCGGGAAGGCTCACCAAGGACTAGGGGTGATGCCTCAGTGAGAGGTGCCCGGGAACCCCAGCCCACCCACTCACGGACTCTGCACTCTGGGAATGCGGGACCCACGGCCGGGGAGCCAGGGAGCCAATCACTTGCGCCTCCCCCAAGGTGGCAGGCAGGACAGCCAAGAATGCAAGCCCCCCAGCAGCCCCAGGCCAGACTTTGCCCACCCGGACTCTGGGCAGCGGTGGTGTGGGGGTGGGGGGGGACACCATTGCGTCTGTGCGGCAGACAGGTCTGGTTGCTGGTCATGTCCCCGCAGCCAGGGACTTGGTTGTGGTTGAGGATCAAGGCAGGAGTGCAGACGCGGGCTGCTGTGAGCAGACACCTGTGCGATGTGCATGCACGTCTGAGCAGGTGGCTGCAGGTGTGGGTGTAGCTGTGGGCTGGCCCGTGCCCCCTACAAAGGCTGCAGGCTGGGAGCCCCTGGGACACGGGATCCCCGGGAGAGGGTCTGGCCAGTCCCCCGCGGATCCCTTCCCACACGACGTGCTTCTCCCGCTATCCCAGGCTTCTGGGGGGAGTGGGTGGAGGAGGCACTGCCGGACCTCCAAACTGGAGCACATGACGCCCCCAGGAGGCCCGCGGCTTCCCCACACGGCTGGCCCAGGAAATGGGGCCCCCACAGTGGCTATGCCAGGAAGGGAGGGTCGGTTCGCCCCTCAGAGGCAGTGCGTCCACATCTGGAAACCCAGCTCCTGAGTAAGGCGGGTCCAGAAACGGCTCACGCTGCAGGGTGTAGCCAGGCGCCTGCCGGCTGAGTGACCGTGTGGCCAAGTCAGTGGAAGGCTATGCAGCAGGATGCCTCTGCCCTGATGGCGCTCTGGGCCACAGGGTCCTTCCCGGAGGGCCCCTGCCCCCTGAGGCCGCGCCAGATCTCCCGGGGCCCTCCCGGTACCAGGAGACCCGAGGCCTTGGGGTGCTCTAGTCACCTGCCAATTGATGCTGCTTAATTGCAAATTTCAGGGGCCTCACTTCTCCGGAGGGGCAGGGCGCCCTGGGCTGAGCTCTTGGGCTGCCCGTCCTGGAGGGCCCAGGCAGGGCACTGGGGGGCCCTCGGGCACTGCTGGACGCACATCCTGGCCAGGAGGCCAGGATGTGAGAAACCCTGACTCCCACGACTCCGAGGCCAGCCCCTGGTTTACACGCGGGGACACCCGGAGGGGCGGCTGGGCGTGCGTGTCCGTAAGCAGTGGTGGCAGCGCTGAGACCAGACTGCATCTCCCCAAGAGGGTCCGAGCGACCGCCGCCCACCACCCCTGGTTCCCACGGGGCCCCCCTCTTCCATGTCTGCGGGCGTCCTGCCCATGAGGCGCACCCACATCTTCCTGTGGCGCTGGGCACCCTTGGGTCTGTGTCTTATTTCCTCAGACAAATGTGGAAGTTGACGGATGAAAGGGATAGGAAGGTGCTGTGGGTATGACGGGCGCTAGGGAAGCCTGCCCTCCTTGGGAAGCCAGAGTCACCGCTCGGGAACCTAAATGTCGGCAGGACATGCAGGGACACTGGGCACCCGAGGAGACGTGGGAAGCTGGCCACGGATGCGGGGCTGCCAGCAGACCGCACGGCAGTCCTCAGAGACGGGCCCTTGGGGTCAGGGGAGGGAAGGGACGGCGCGCTCCTTCCTCTGCCCACAGCATCCGTGTGCCTGGCCCTGCGCCCTTGCCTCAACGGCGGCAAGTGCATTGATGACTGCGTCACAGGCAACCCCTCCTACACCTGCTCCTGCCTCTCAGGCTTCACGGGGAGGAGATGTCACCTAGGTGAGTTTACACTGCAGGCACAGCCGGTGGCCCCAAGGGTCCAAGGTCAAAGGTCTCTGTCCCCATGGTGCGGGTGGCTCCCCGACGGTGAGCACGGGGGCGGGTGCTACAGCTGCCCCTTCTGGGCCGACCACCTCGGAAGCGAGGGATCCAGGCAGATCCTGCCCAACCGGGCTTCCTCCACTGAGGCCCCAGCCTGCCCTGTTTTCCAGACGTGAACGAATGTGCTTCCCACCCATGTCAGAATGGTGGGACCTGCACACATGGTGTCAACAGCTTCAGCTGCCAGTGCCCGGCCAGCTTCGGGGGACCCACCTGTGAGACAGGTAAGAGGACGTGCCCGGGCCTTATGGCCCCACTGGAGGCAGATCGCAACGGTCCCGGCCGACCAGGGAGTGTGGTCAGCCTCATGGGAATGCTGGGTCCACATCCAGAGGGCCTGGCAGTAGGCGTGGGAGCCTGGAGAGGCCCATGGGGGCAGGAGCCCAGACTCTAGAGGAAAGCCCATCTCATGCATGTGGCAGGAGCCCTGACCTCAGCACTCAGGCCTCCTGGGCCCTGGTGTTCAGACCAGGGGTGGCGCCTTAGAACAGGCCAGTGCCCAGTTCCAGCCTGGCCACGGGACATGGATGAGAGCCACCCCCGTGCGATTGGAGCCGTCACTGCCCCCTCAGCTCTGGACTGGCTTGATGGGAATGTGGGGGCTCCCGGGGTGCCGAAGAGCACAGTCCCCATCCCACCCTGTCTGTGCTGCCTGAACCCCCAAGCCCCAGTAGCTCCCAACAGGAGCGGAGGCTGCTTCTCTCCAGCCCCCGGGGTCTCAGCCTTGGCACGGGTTGGGGTCCTTCCTGAGACCCCCAGCTGCACCCCGCTCTGCACCCCCTTCTGAGCATGGCTCTTTGGAAGCAGTGCTGGCAGATTCCCAGCCTCCTGTACCTGCCCCTCAGCCAGCACGTCTCTGGGCCCCCTCGCCCTGGCTGGAGGAAGGTGGGCCCCCGCCGCTGCGCCCGGTCTCACTGTGGGAAGCTGCTAGGGGAGCCCAACAAAGAGAGCCCCGCACACCCGCCCATTCCCCGAGGTACACTGGCTGATGTGTAACCATTGTTGAGAAACATGTACGAGACATCGTTCCATCAAGTGCGTAGAATAACAGTCCTTCCTACAGGAGTGTCTCAATCTAGAAGAACCATTTCTAAGAGCGACTTCTAGCCACAAAAAAATGTTTTAAAGTTGTGCCTCCAGTGTATCTGCACACATCTGGGCCCGGTGAAGCTCCTAGGAAGACCTGGGCCTGGAACCAGTAGCCTTGCGCCTTGGGCTCCTCATGGCCACTACGGTGACACCGAAAGGTCCCAGGTCCCCACCAATGCTCGCTGGTCTCAGGACCCACCTCAGCCCCAGGCCACACAACAGCAGGGACAGGAAGGGACATGTGTGCTGCTCACCTTGAGCACCTCCTCCCCACAGGTGCCCAACCCTGCTCTTTGGTGGAGTCAGGATCCAGGAGAGGGGGGGTGACCTGGTGCTGTGGCCACCAGAGCACCTCCACACGTCCTCTCTCCTTCCTCCCACTGACCCCCATGAGTCCAGGGAGGGCCACATGCTCTGAGGATCCCTTCGGCTCCTATACTGAGAGTTGTTTTGGGGAATGTGCTGTCCCCCCACTCCCCTGGGGGCTCACGGGCCAGCAGCCACCAGGGAGTCTAGCGGCCAGCATCCTGGGTGAAAGTGGCCAGAGGCACGCTCCACCTCAGCTCACTCCCACCTGATGGGGACTGAGTACCTTTGCACCTGGCCCTGCAGCAAGACAGGTCACCTCCCCCACAACGGTGTCACCTCAGGGCCATCCAGGCCCTCCGGCACCTCTGCACACCACATCCCCTTCAAGACCCATCGCAGGCTGTATCCCTCTGCTGGGCCGGGAGCAATCCCTGCAGCCAGTGCTCCAGAATCACACTCTGTGCTGGGAGCTGAGAGCAAGATCCCCCTCACCCCGGCGCCCCCAGCCAGCACACACAGGCCCCTTCCGGCCTGGATCTGCTGAAACAGACCCTATGCGGCCGGGCGCGGGCTGCTGGGTGGGGGCGGCCGGCCAGGCCCCGCGGAGCCTGACACCCTCCCGAGCGGGATCAGCAGGAGACCCCAGGGGCCCAGCCAGAGGTCCGACACCTTCACGCCTCTGTCCTCACAGCACTGTCTCCATGCGATGCCAAGGTGTGCGAGAACGGCGGCCGGTGCCAGGCAGAGCAGGGCTTGGCAGTGTGCCTGTGCCGGGCCGGCTACACGGGCGAGGCCTGCGAGACGGGTGAGGGGCCGGCCCCAGGGGGCGGGAAGGTGCCCGGGAGTCAGAGGCTGGCTCAAGCCAAGCTCCTGCCTCCGCTGCCCCCAGATGTGGACGAATGTGCCTCCGGCCCGTGCCTCAACGGGGGCTCGTGTGTTGACCTCGTGGGGAACTTCACCTGCCTGTGCGCAGAGCCCTTCGAGGGACCTCGCTGCGAGACAGGTACCGGCCCTTGCCCGCAGCCTCCAGTGACAGCGCGGTCACCCGGCCCCTGGCCCTCGCTGAGCAGCTCAGCCCCACTCCTGTCCCGGGGGTCGTCTCCCCAGCCCTGCCCGTGCTGCCCTGTCCCCTGAGCTGCCGCCTGTGCGTGCCTCCTGCTGTCCTCCATCTATAGGATGCGGGCAAGATGGCCACACTCTCAAGGCCCTTCTTCCTGCTCAGGACATTCTGGGCCTTTTAACATCCTCTTTCCTACAACAGACCCCTCGCCGTGGAAGGGAATGAGCCCCATGAGCTGGCAAGAAAACTGACTTTTGTTACATGTGATGAACTCTGCTAGTTTCTATTTCATATTTTAAATGTTGGCGATGACTTGGTAGATCAATTAAAAGACCAACTAGATTTTATTAACCTACAGAATAAATTGAGGTTGTTAACATCTGACATTGCCATGACCGCTAAACGCCTCGCTCAACTGTGCCCAAGATAGCAAAGTCCAGGGCATCAGCAGCTGCTCCCCAGGGAGATGCTCAACACAAGCTGTCAGATTTAGTTTCACTGTAAAAAGTTAAGAAGGAAATTAAATTTTACCCATAAGTAAGATATAGATGGGTGCTGTGCCCTCCATTAGTCTTTGGTCAGAGGGCCACACAGAGGCCAGGCCATGTCCTAAGGAGAGGGTGGGCTCTGCAGTGCAGAGGGGAGGAGGGGAGGGCAGCACCCTCACCTGTTTGGTTGCTTAAAATCACTGTAACGGGTCACAGTTCACCTTGCCCAGATGGTTATCTAAATATCTGTATATTTAACTAAACTCATGTTAGAAAACAGATTAGTATTTTCAAAAGATTTTGCAAAGAAACCACATCTTGTACAGGAAGAAGAATGCAAATGAAAATAAACAACAAGAAACAACAGAACTGATGCTTCCATCCTCAATATAAGCTTATTATTCATATTACAAGGTGCCAGTTTTGACATTCTAACCAGATTCAACAGGAAGTTGGCCAAAATTTGGAGATAATTTCTAAAAATAGTATCCATTCTTCTGCTTCTGGCCAAGAAAGACTGACTGTTCTGGGAATTTCCCTCACCATCAACAACTAAGAAACCAGATAAAATATCTGAAACAGCTGTTTTCAGCCACTGGACAACAGGCATCACAGAACTGCTACCCCTGGGAGGAGGGACCGAAATGAAGTGCTCTCTACCACTGCCCCCAAGTCTGCCTGCAGGAAGTTCCCAGGTCACCGTGCAGCAAGGGGGTCCAGACTCCAGCAGTTCCTCTGAGTCTCTGGGTCACAGAGACAGAGAGACTAGTTTGGTAGCTGCCATTTGTGGGGAGAATTCCAGAAAGGATGGAGTTACTAAAAAGGACTGGGCAGAGTGCAAGGAGCTCTGAAGACCTGCAGAGGCACCCCTGGCCTCTTCAGTCAGCACAGTTGGGGTGAAATCCAGGAGGCTGAGGAAAGAACCACTGGAAGTGCTGAGTCACACAATCCCTGGAACTCAAACAAGGCTGGGAATAATTCTCTTCTCTACAGCCAGAGTACACGCAGAGCTCCTCACACCAACAGCTAAGGCAGAGTAGAGTCCTCAGTACCACCTTGTACTGGGGTACAAGGATACCATCTTGCTGATATGGATAAATAAATGCTGGACCAAAGGCTAATCTGACTTGTCCTAACAAATATAAAGGAAAGTCTGAAAGAATCAAAACAATCCCAAGTAATTTAACCATATACCAGAACCAAATCTGTACTATTTAAAGGCATAAAACAGAATCCAGGGCTTCAAAATACCCAACCAAAAATTATCAGACGTACTAAGAATCAAGAATATATGACCCACGTCCAGGAGAAAAATAGATCAATAGAAACAGATGGCAGAGATGATGAAATTAGCAGATCTGCACGTTTAATCATCTACCGTGAATATGCTCCATGTGCTCAAGACTGTTGAGGAAAAAGGACACAGTGAGAAGTAGAAGAGAGAAAAAAGAAACTTCGAGAGATTAAAAAACATAAAATGTCAATTTAAAAAAATACACTGGGTAGACTAACAACAGGTTAGACACTGTAGAAGGAAAGGTCAGTGAACTTGAAGTCAGAAACAACCCAACAAGCAGCAAAGGAGGTAGAGAGACTGCAACCAAGACCATCTCTTCAGTGACCTGTGGGACATCAGACTGCCTGGTGTGTGTACCTGTAGAGTTCCAGAGGGAGAGAGGGGGCCAGAGGGGCACAGAAAAAGAATGAGGAAATAATAGCCAAATGTTTTCTAAATTTGATGAAAATTAAAATCCGCATATCCGGGATCCCTGGGTGGCGCAGCGGTTAGGCGCCTGCCTTTGGCCCAGGGCGCGATCCTGCAGACCCGAGATCGAATCCCACATCGGGCTCCCGGTGTATGGAGCCTGCTTCTCCCTCTGCCTGTGTCTCTGCCTCTCTCTCTCTCTCTCTCTGTATGACTATCGTAAATAATAAAAAAAAAAAAATCTGCATATCCAAGAAAAGCATGAAGAAAATCACATGAAGCACATCATAAAGTATTGAAAACCCAGTAACAACAACAACAAAAAATCCGAAAAGCAGCCAGAGGGAGAAAACAAAACACAATATATACAGGAAATGAGGATGATAACAGACTTCTCATCAGAAACAATGCAAGCCCAAAGACAGTGCACTATCAACCTTGTAGCATATACACAGGAAAATTAGCTTTCAAAAATTAAGGTGAAATTAAGATATTTTTCAGACAGTGAAAACACAATTATTCATCACCAGCATATCTTATTTTAAAAAAACATTAAAGGAAATTCCTCAGACTGAAGAAAAATGGCACCAGATGAAAATCCAGAACTATACAAATGAATGAAGAGCTCTACATGGTAAATACCTGGGTAAATGTACAGGCCGACCTTATTTATTGCGCTTGACTGATACTGTGTTCTTTACAGATTGAAGCTTTGTGGCACCCCTGCATCAAGTGAGACCAGTGGGGCCATTTTTTCTAATAGCAGTTGTTCACTTTGTATCTCTGTGTCACTTTTTGGTAATTCTGCAATATTTAAAAAAAATTTTTTTAGATTTTATTGATTTATTCGTGAGAGACACAGAAAGAGAGAGGCAGAGGGAGAAGCAGGCTCCCTGCGGGGAACCCCATGTGGGACTCAATCCCGAGCCCCAGGGTCACGCCCTGAGCTGAAGGAAGACGCTCAACTGCTGAGCCACCCAGGCATTCCTATTTCAAAGTTTTAAATTATGGTTCTATTTGTTATGGTGATCTGTGGTCAGTGATTACAACTCACTAAATCTCAGATAATGGTTACCAATTTTTAGCAAAGTGTTTTTTAATTAAGGTGTACACATTTTCTTAGACATGATGCTATTACACACTTAATAGACTCCAGTGTAGTGTTAACATAACTTTTATAGGCACTGGGAAACCAGAAAATTCATTTGACTCATTTTATTGCCATATCCGCTGTATTACAGTGGTCTGGAACCAAACCCACAATATCTCCAAGGTATGCCTGTAAAATGCTTTTCTTCTTACTTTATCTCTTTAAAGTTAATTTTAACACAAAAAATAACAATATGTTATGGGGTTTATAACATTTATAGAAATAAAATGTATGACCTCAATAGCTTAAAGCAGAATGTGCAAGCTTTTTCTGCAAAGGGCTAGATATTAATATTTTTGGCTTTTTTTCAAGATTTTATTTATTCATGAGAGACACAGAGAGAGAGGCAGAGACACAGGCAGAGGGAGAAGCAGGCTTCCTGTGGGGAGCTTGATGTGGGACTTGATCCCCAGACCCCGGGATCACGCCCTGAGCCGAAGGCAGATGCTCAACTGCTGAGCCCCCCAGGCGTCTCAATATTTTTGGCTTTATGAGCCATGTGATTACAGACATTCACCTCTGCCAGTGCAATGCCAAAGCAACCAGCCATAGATTGGGTATGGATGTGCTCCAATGAAACTTTATTTTTTAAAATGCGTGTGGCAGGCAAGGTTTGGTCTGCAAGCCATAGTTTATCAACGTCTAGCATAAAGGATAGGAAGAGAGAGATGGGAATAATGTAGTGATGTCCTTACATTATATATGAAATGGTATAATATCGTTTGAAGGTAGACTACAATAAGTTAAAGATACACATTATGAACCCAGAGGAACAAATAAAAATAATAATGAAGAGTCATAGCCAATAAACCAGAGGTGGAAATAAAATGGAATCCTGAAAACACTCCATCCAGAAGGCAGGAAAAGAAGGAAAAAGGAATAAAGAATAATTGGGACAGATGATAACCAAGAGCAACATGGTAGGTTTAATTATCCTGATAGTTACATTAACATGTGAAATGGTTGAACATACCAATTAAAAGGCAGATATTGTATAACTGAATTGAAAAGCAAGACCCAACTATAAACTGTCTACAAGAAACCTACTCTAAACATAAAGACACAGATAAGTTGAAAATAATTTGAAAATTGGAATGGGTTTCTGGTTTTGGGTAAGATAGAGTAAGCATACCGTCCCTACCTTGTGTTTCCCACTAAATGCAGCCATAAATCCTGGACAGAAGGCATGGAGTAGCTATCTGAGGACTCTGAAAAATAAATAGTAGGTGGATTGGGGAAGATGACCAAGCTTCAAAGCACCACAGAACCAGTGGTGAGTTCACCATTTTCTTCCTCCAGTGTCCCCCCTGCCTGGACTCAAAGCAGCTCCCAGATCAGAAGTGAGCATCAGATGGATGGAAAGAGCTCCAAAAGCAGCCACTAGTCAGTCTCAAGAAGCAGGACCAACAGTAGCAGCAAAGGTGGGGGGGGGGGGAAGGTCCCTGAGGGGCCCAAACTGACCAGAGGAAGCTTCCTCTCCAGTTGGAGGTCCTATGGCTCCACAGAGCTGGGCAACTCCCATTGTTTCTCCTCCTCTCTGTCCATCCACTACCTGGCCCAGACATGAGTGCACTCACAGGAACAAACTAGTGGTGTGAAGCAATAAAAGCCCCAGCTCTCTTGCCAGAGGACTGAAAAGGCCAGCCCAGAGCACTGGAAACTATGGGGAGGTGGCAGAGAGGGGGATCTCAGGGCCACAACCCTACAATCATCTGTGATCTCCTGAGTTCCCTACATTGGGCATTGTAATCTGATCCAAAATAGTAAAAACAATACCACTTATAATAGCTTCCCCCCAAACTGAAAGACTTAGGTATAAATCTAACAAAACATGTACAGGACCTGTCTGCTGATCTGAGTAAACGGAAGGACATCCCACGTTCATGGACTGGAAGACTCAACATAGTAAATATGTCAGCTCTCCCCAGATTGATCAGTAGATTTAATACAATTCCAATCAAAGTTTCAACAGAGTTTTCTGTAGCTTTGGACAAGCTGGTTCTAAAATTTATATGCAAAGGCAAAGGAATTGAGATAGCCAAAACAATTTTAAAAAATTAACTTTTGAGGAATCACACTACTTAGTGTTAAGACTTACTATACAGCCACAGTGATCAAGCCCCTGTGGGATTGGCAAAGGGACGGGTGCATACATACGTGGAACAGCAGAGAGGATCCAGAATTAGACCCACACAAATACAGCCAGGTTTGTTTTTTTTTTTAAGGTGTGAAAGCAATTCAGTGGAGAAAGGATGATCTTTTCAACAAATGGTATTGGGACCGTCAGACAGTCTCATGTACAGACTGAGCTTCAACTTCAGCCTCACACCCTGAACAAGGTTAGGTCAGAACGAACCAGAGACCTGAATGGAAAACATAAAACCACAGCATTCTTGGAAGAAAACATGGGAGAAAAACCTGTGTGACCTGCGGCTACAGGAACAGTGCTTAGATAAGACAGGAAAGCACTCTCCAGCAAACGAAAACAGAAGGAGTGGGCCTCATCAGAAGGACACACGCAGCTCTGGGAAAGACACGGTCAGGAGGACGCGAAGACAGGCTGCGTGCTTCCAGAGGTCCTGCAAGCACTCCCGTCTGACAAAGGGCTGGCCTCTGGAACACATAACGAACTCTCCACGCTCAACTGTCAGAAACCAACCAACCAAAGCACAGACAAAAGATCTAAACAGACACATAACCAGAAAGGCTATCTGGGAGGCAAAGAAGCAGATGAACAAATGCAGTCATCTGTCATTATCGTTAGCCACTGGTGAGTTGCAAATTAAAGCCACGGTGAGAAAGCACCACATACCTACCAGACTGGCTAAAATAAAAAGTGCTGACTGGTGAGGACACAGAGCCGTGGGAACACTCACATATTTTTGGTGGTGATGCCAGATGGTTTAGCCACTGTGAAAACAGCTTGGCAGCTTTGCATAAAGTTAAACATACACTTCTGATATGGTCCAGCAATCCCATTCCTAGCTATTAACCCTACAGAAATGACAGCTTCTATTCTACTCACGAAATGCACAAATGTATGCAGCACGCCTGTGCACAGCCACCAAACCTAAGAACGCAAGCGTCCTTCCCTGCTGGTGGGACGCGTGACTGCCAATCACACAACTGAGATGGATCCTGGAGGCCTTCTGCTGAGTGACCGAACCAGCCTCAAGGATCACATGCCGTTCGTGTGTAATCTCCCACTTCTGGTGTTCTTAAAGCAACAAAGCTGCGGTGATGAACGGGTCAGTAGTTGCCAGGGATGCAGGAGGGGAGGGAGCCTGTGGCCCTGAAAAGATACAGGGGAGTATTTGTGGTAATGGAATGTTCTGTGTCCTGACTGGTGGGGGCAGCACAAATCTATTCTATGTTAAAATTCACAGAAGTGGACAGCGAGCAAAAGTCGATTTTGCCATGTGTTATTTAAAAGATAAATCCTGAACCACATGAAGAAATCAAACACCTAAACAATGAAATGGAATAGGTTGACAAACACCGACCGAGAGAAGTCAGAGCGGTTATACTCACAGCAAACTGATTAAACTCTAGAATAAGGAATACTGCCAGGAACAGAGGGGTCTTTTATGACGAAGGTGAAGTCACCAAACAGGCACGGCAGTTCTGATGTACGTGCACCTATGAACATGCATCAAAATGCATGCAGGGAAAGCAGGCAGAAATAGATCTGTGGCTGCAGGCGGTAGTTCCAACCCGGCGCTCTCATCACGGGAATCAGTAGGGACCTCCAAGACGCAAGCAGCACCATCAGCCTAAGTGACACAGCCACATCCTTTCCAAGGTCGCATGGAGCACCCACCATGACAGACCATCCTGTAGGACATAAAATAAAGCTCAATCGGTTGAAGGGACTGTATCCCCTGATTATAGTAGTTAACCTGGAAATCCACAAAAACTGTATCTGGAAAACCCCAACCATGGTACCAACATAGATGCTGGATTAGAAGCACTTGTTTGGAGGCCCCTGGTCTTAGCTGGGCCCTCTGGTGCACACCGTGGGGTCTCCATCCTTTTGCTTTGCCTTCTGCTCCACAGAAGGGGCTCAGATGGTGAGGGGCAGCTAGAAATCAGTTTCCAAATAGTGGGCCTCGGGCTTAACATCGCACTCGCATGCAGAACTGAGTGCTGTGGGGCCTGGGTGAGGAGCCCCATGCCCTCTGGAGCAGCCTCTGGTGACTTCTGTGTTTCTTGCAGGAAGCCACCCAGTGCCAGAGGCCTGCCTCTCAGCCCCGTGCCAGAATGGGGGCACCTGCGTGGACGCAGATGAGGGCTACGTGTGCGAGTGCCCCCAGGGCTTCACCGGCCCCGACTGCAGGGAGAGTGAGTCTGGGCTGGGGCTGCCAGAGCAGCGGTCCAGGGCAGGACCCTCCGGTGGGTGGTGCGTACAGAAGGCAGCTGGGGGTGTGTGGTGGGGGGAAGAGAGAGAGCGTGTGTGCACAGCCGTGTTCATGTGATGGTAGCCGGGAGCAGGGCAGGGTCAGCAGCAGGAGGGCCCTGATGCTCCACACCCCACATCGGAGCTCCCCCCGTCGGTCTACGGCAGGAACCCCTGACCACTGTGAGTGCCGTAACGGTGGCAGATGCCTGGGTGCCAACACTACCCTCTGCCAGTGCCCCCCAGGCTTCTTTGGGCTCCTCTGTGAATTTGGTAAGTGCCCAGGGCTGCAGTGGGGCACGCTTCCCGCCCTGCCCCTGAAAATCCCCAGACCAGAGGAGAGGTGGTGGCTTGGGTCTGGGCCCAAACCGTAGATGCAGACCCTTAACCAGCGGTCCCGTGATCCCCCACTCCCACCCCAGGAGGGGGCTGGCCACAAGAGTGCCTGAACCCGGCCACCCTGGCGGGGCCGCCTGATGCTTCTCAAGGACGAGAAGTCCCCAGGAAGGCAAACAGGCCTCTTCCTTCTCTGCAGAAGTCACAGCCACGCCTTGCAACATGAACACCCAGTGCCCCGACGGGGGCTACTGCATGGAGTACGGTGGGAGCTACCTCTGCGTCTGCCACACTGACCACAACGCCAGCCACCGTGAGTGTGGGGGCGGGGAAGCTGTGGGCACAGGCCTGCGCAGAAGCCAGGGAGGGCGTTAGGAGGAGAACACAGGGGCAAAGCACGCAGAGGTGTGGGCTGCCCCACGGGCCCTCAAGAGCCCCCGCGGGTGGTGCGCCTGTCCTGGGGTCGTCCTCTGTAATGCGGGCTGTCCACCCCTCCGCCGCAGGAGCTCACAGCTGGGAAAGCACCTCTGGACATGTTCAAGCTCTCCCCTAAGCTCCTAGCTTCACACATGTCTAAGTCTGCGTGACTAAATATTTACGACTGTGTATTTGTGAGTGTGCATTACATTATGTATAATACACTGGTGATGGAGGTGCTGGTACCAAGACCCCCGGGCACTACGGCTCAGTCCTAGCTCATAGGAGAGGCAGGATGAAGTCTGGAAAAATTGAGAATAAAAGAATTTCCAGGAAGGGCCTTAGAGCCTGGTGTGAAGAATCAAGGACCCCCCCCCCAGAGTATATTTTAAGGGGCCTTGGTTCCCGCTGAGATGTCAGGGTGACCACCCTCTGCCCCCGCAGCACTGCCGTCACCCTGCGACTCAGACCCCTGCTTCAACGGAGGCTCCTGTGACGCCCATGAGGACACCTACACTTGCGAGTGCCCCCGAGGGTTCCATGGCAGGCACTGCGAGAAAGGTGGGTGGCAGGGCAGGGGAGGGCGGGGCAGGGCAGAGAGGGCCCGCTCACCCTGACAGCTGGCCGCCCAGCTTCTGCGTATGGTGCCAGCGTGGCCTCCGCCCCCACGAGCTGCTTGTCTTGCTAGTGCTGCTGCTCTGTGGCCTCCTGGGCACCACTCGGTTTTCCTCAGAACAGGCTTCATTTCCCGCTCAGCGTTTTCCCAAATGGATTTTATCGAGTCCTTGATCTTCAAAATACTCGTTAGGACCTCATCAGATGTAACTGAACTTGGCGAAAGTCAGCATGTCACGCACACACCCTCGCGGACTTTCGCCCCGGGAACGCGGCTCCCACGCTCCGACGCGGGGCTCAGGGCGGGCAGCGGCACCCCTCCCGCAGGGCCTGGCCTGGAGCTCAGCCCCTGGGCCGCCCACGGCCCCTGGACCCCACGCTCCTCTGGGAACCTGGAAGGGGCCCCAAGGGCAGGTCCCTGCTGCCGTTCCCCGGAACCCCCCGCCCCCTCATCTCCACCCCGCAGGAGGAGGAGAGGGTTTCCAAAGAGAAGCCCTGCTGCTTGGTTCCCTCCACCTGCGGCCGAGGTCCTGCGTCTTCAACAAAGGCACCCAAAGCAGGGACCCGGAGTGGCTGCTCGGGGTGGGGGGGCTGGAACTTGGACCCACAGCCTGCGAGGCCCTGCAGGGTGGGGGCATGGGGAGGCGCCCTCCTGCTCAGAGATGTCCAGGAGGCTGAGGGGCCGAAGCCCCCCGTGGGCCTGTGAAGGCGCCAGTCCTCAGCATGGAGGGGCACACCAGCCGCTCCGCACGGGCCTTTAAATGTGCTCCTCAAGCACGAGCACGTGACCCCCAGGGCCCTGGGAAGATGCACCGATGCCACAGGGGCACAGAAACCTCGAAGAGGCTCCCTGCCATGCAGGAAGGAGGGCTCGGTGTCTGCTGCACCCGGAAGGGCTCCCGGGTCCCCAGGGCCTGGGGCAGACAGGGATGAGTGGCCAGAGGGCCCCGCGGGCTGAGAAGACGGGAGTAGGGTGTCACGGGTGCCCCAGGGCCGGGAGGCAGGCCCTGTTCACCCGCTCCTGTCTCCCCCTGTCCTTGTTCCCACAGCCCGGCCACGCCTGTGCAGCTCGGGACCCTGCCGGAACGGGGGCACGTGCAGGGAGGCGGGCAGCGAGTACCACTGCAGCTGCCCCTACCGCTTCACCGGGAGGCACTGCGAGATCGGTGCGGCCCCCCGCCGCCGGCGTCTGCTTGTCTCCAGCACCCCCAGAGGGCGCACCAGCTGCGGGACCTTGGATCAGGGGAGGAGCCCTGGGTGGTGGGTGTGTGCGTGACACCTGACTTTCACGGGGGCCTTTTGTTTCCAGGGAAGCCAGACTCCTGTGCCTCGGGCCCCTGTCACAACGGCGGCACCTGCTTCCACTACATTGGCAAATACAAGTGTGACTGTCCCCCAGGCTTCTCTGGGCGACACTGCGAGATAGGTAAGGTGGGCTGGGGCCGGTGGGCTGGACCAGGTGGGCAGGAGTGGCCCTGCTTCGGAAGAGTGGAAGGCAGAGTTCCCACGAAGCCTGGAGGTCTTCAGGGAGGACACAGCCACGGTGACCCCTTGTGTCCTATAGCCCCCTCCCCCTGCTTCCGGAGCCCCTGCATGAATGGGGGCACCTGTGAGGACCTGGGCACAGATTTCTCCTGCCGCTGCCGATCAGGGTACACAGGACGCCGGTGCCAGGCAGGTGAGAGGGCTGGGCGCTGGGGTGGAGGGCACTTCTTCCTAATCCCAGGAGAGCAGAGCGGGGCCAGACAGGGAGCTGAACGGAGGGAGGGGAAAGGAGGAGAAAACCGATGCGCAGCCAGGCCTGGAAGTCAGGGCACTTTCATCCTGGGAGGGCTGTGCAGGGAGCAGGGGTCGCAGGCTCTGCAGCCTGGCGGGGCAGAGGGCAGCCCCGAGGGAGGGGCCCCAGGCAGGCGCCTCTCAGCGCTGGACAGGGCTTCTGTGTCCTTGCAGAGGTGGACTGTGGCCCCCCAGCGGAGGTGAAACATGCCACGCTGCGCTTCAACGGCACTCGGCTGGGCTCGGTGGCCCTGTACAAGTGTGACCAAGGCTACAGCCTGAGCTCTCCCAACCCCGTCCGCATCTGCCAGCCACAGGGCGTCTGGAGTGAACCTCCACAGTGCCACGGTGATCTGCAGGCCCTCTGGGACAGGGCGGGTGGGGAGGCGGGCAGAGCCTGTGGGGTGCACACCCTCCTCACTAGGGCCACTCAGAGGAGCATCGGGGCTGCAGTTCTGACCCTGGCCCTCCCCCGGTCCCCTTCAAAGTGAGGCCATGACCCTGTAATGAAGGTGGTGAGGGCTAGTGCCAGCTCCGTTCTGGACTGTCCTCAGAGTGGGGCATCCAGCCCACATGCCCACCCTGCAGATGAAGCAGCAGAGGCCAGAAGGCAGCCCAAGGGCACGGTCCTCAAGAGGCAGAGCAGGATGCAGGGCCTGTCCCTGGCCCCCAGTCCCACCCACACCCAGGGAAGCAGACTCTTGATTTGCACAAGGCCTCCAGAAGCCCCGTAGCCCTTTGAGGATGCTGCTTCAGAGAGCATTGCCTCAGGCTCCCATGTGTGCCAGGTGTGTGGCCTGAGGCAGGGCCCCCTCTGACTGATGCCCCTGCAGTCGCAGGGCCACCGACACAACTGTAGACATACTGCAAGAAGCCTAAGCGTCCATAAGTCTGTTCACCAGAAAATCTGTGTGATGTTAACACATTTTTCACAAAACAAGGATTTTTAAACCAAGTAGCTCAGGGACCCTGAAAGCACCCAGAGATGGGTGGGGCACATAATGCTGCTCTGTCCCATACCCTGCAAAGCCCGAGTTGTGCGGCCCTACACAGGTGAGGAATTCTGATTCTGGAAGACAGGTGGGGGCTGCCCAGCCCCGGTGTCTTTCATGCCCTCCAATCTACCCAAGCCCACCCCTTTCCAAGGATAGTAATAATAACATCCAAACAATATATACTATTGGGAACAGAAGTATAGAAGGAGGGTGAGCATATAAATAAGCATGACAGATAGATGGTAGGAAACATGGCACTGGTCATAAAAAACAGGGTCAATAAATCATTTTTAACAGAAGAGAGGAAAAGAGGACTGAAAAACTAGAACAGTTAAAATAACAGACACAATTTATAAATGGATATAGGTGAAGGCTAAGTTAATGAGCTAAAGACCAGTTTGAAGAATCTTCCCACAAAGAAGCAGAGAGGTGTGTGTGAATGAAACGTACGCACAGTGCAGGATAGAAGTAGGAATGCCAACACTGGGGTAACAGGAGTCCGAGATGAGAGAAAAATAAAAACAGAATGAAATGTCTGAGGCACTGTGGAGCTCAGTTCCCAGGACAGATAAAGCACCATAGGTTGAAAGGGTCCCAGAACATCAAACAAGAGAAAAGAGGAACATTAGCACATTATAGCAAAATTTAAGGCTATCGGAGACCAACAAAGAAATTCTTAAACTGTCTAGGGAAAAAAGGAACAAGAATCTTCAAAGGAAAAAGAATCCCATTGGCACCAGACTTCTCAACAGTGACATCAGATGTAAGGTAGTGAAATGACAGATGTTAAATACTGAGGAGACCCATTCAGTGAGAATGCAGACAGTCACAGAACACCATCACTCTCACCGTAACATCAAGGAAAATCATATCATTTAATCTATCAGATTGCTGAGTGTGCCCTTCCTCGGCGAGAAAAACTGATGGCTGCTGTCAACCCAGGAGCAAATCCACTGTGGACAGAGCACTTTGAGTACTTCCAGAAATCCAGCTAAGCTTTTGATGATTATGTGAGCAAGCGTGATGGGCTGGAGTGCGGAGCAAGAGCTCAGCACCCACCAATTCTCCCCCAAAGGATTTTTACTAAGTGCAGGGGGAGCCAGGGGCTGGACTGGAAAGCAAAGAGATTTCATACCCTCACAAGGCTGAGATTCCCCAGTCCGCCCAGGGGAGAGGTCTGTTCCAACCATCAAGCATCTAAAACCAATCACGAATTAGCACTAATGAGCACTGCACACCAGGCCCAGCCCAGCTCACCTCCAGATGATATCAGAGAACAGCTGCTCAGGTTAGTTGCCTGACACAGAGTAGAGCATGCCCATCCGAGGGGTAGGTATGTTCTACTTTGGTCTCTGTTCTTGTATACAGTGTGTCCCAAGGAGCAAGAAATTATAACATATAATCTCAAGAAGAAACAGTCAATAGAAACAGACCTACAGATGACCCGCATGTTTGGATTAGCTGATAAGGACTTTAAAATAGCCATTATATATATGTTAAAGAGAAGCCAAATGAATGAGAGAATAGAAAATTTGAACAGAGGAAAGAAGATTTTTTAAAATAACAAAATAGAAAAACGACATCTAAAATGAAGAGGAAATTGGATAGGCTTGTCAATAAAATGGGATACAACAGAAGAAAACGTCACAGAACTCAAGGACAACTCAACAAAATTACTCAAAGATCAGAAAGAAGAAATGGATGACAAATTATTTATGAATGAATTTTTAAAAACAATGGAGCAAAAGAAATCTGTGGAAAATATCAAACAAACAAGCACATAATTGGAGTCCCAGAAAGAGAGGGCACAATAGGCAAAAGAAACATTTAAAGAGATAATGATTATTTTCTAAAAATGAAGAAATAAATCAACCCACAAATCCAAGAAGCTCAGTAAATACCAAGCCAGATAAATATTGAAGTAAATAAACTTAAGACCTAAAAATTTTTAACCAGTCCAATTATTCAAATGTGAGACATAATAAAAAATACGCTTTTGCAAACACAGCTTCAGAGATTTATCAAAAAATGGTCTTTTTTTGGAGATAATATTTGAATAGTAACATAAAACTAGAACATTCCTGGGGTGTACGGGTAGCTCAGTGGTTGAGTGTCTGCCTTCGGCTCAGGGCATGATCCTGGAGTTCCAGGATTTAGTCTTGCATTGGGCTCCCTGCATGGAGCCTGCTTCTCCCTCTGCCTGTGTCTCTGCCTCTTTCTCTGTGTCTCTCATGAATAAGTAAAATCTTTTTTAAAAACCTAGAATATTCTGTAAGCAATAAGAGAAGGGAGAATTATTAAATATTGTAGGAAAGTTTGTAACTCTCTAAAAGGAGAGAAAAAAACACAGAAAAAATGTGGCAGTTAAGATTATGATAGGAAAAAAAAAAGATTATGATAGAAAAATGCAGACAAATATAAATGAGCTAAATTCTCCAAGTAAAAGACAGATTGCCAGATTTATTACAAAACAAAACAAGCTAGGGACACCTGGGTGGCTCTCAGTTGGTTAAGCATCCAACTCTTGGTTTTGACTCTGGTTGTGATCTCAGGGTTGTGAGAGTAAGCCCCACGTCAGGCTCCACACTCATGGGGGAGTCTGCTTGAGATTCTATCTCTCCAAATCCCTCTGCCCCCCTCCCTCCCTCTCCTTAAAATAAATAAATAAGTCTTAAAAAAAAAAGCTATCCTCTCTTAAAAGAAATATTCCTAAATGATAAGAACATAAAAAGACAAAGTAAAACTATGGAAAAAATATCAGGTGAATACAGATCAAAATAAAGCTGGTTTAGTTGCACTATTATCAGCCAAAACAGACTGTACGATGGAAAGCATCATTAAGGATGAGAGGGTCTCTTTCAATGATAATTAATTCAATTCACCAAGAAGATCATTATAAACATTCAAGCATCTAATACAAAAATGTAAATATATATAAAACAAAAATTAACAGACTACAGGAAGAAACTAACAGATTTGCCATTATACTAGGAAATTCTGAGCCACCTCTCTCTTTTTTTAAGAAAAGATTTTATTAAAAAAAAGATTTTATTTATTCACTCATGAGAGAGAGAGAGAGAGAGAGGCACAGACACAGGCAGAGGGAGAAGCAGGCTCCATGCAGGGAGCCCGACGTGAGCCACCTCTCAATTCAGGTTAAGAAGAAAAAAAAATCACAAAAAGATTTGAAAAATGCAACTAACAATTTAAACTAATTTATTCTCTGAACACACAGAAAAAACCAAAGTTATTAAGAACAGGAAGATAAATTTTAAATCTTCATCTTTAGTTATTTTTAAAGATACTTTGAAATAGCTTATGGATCAAAGAAGAAATATGAATACGACAAATTTTTAAATGAATGTTAATGATTATTTTCTATATAAAAACTTGTGTGATATAGCAAAAGCAGTGCTTCATGGGAACTTTAAGTACATAGTTGGAAAAATTCAAAAATTAATGAATTAAATGTCTGAGTTCAGATGCTAGGAAAAGAAAAACTACCAATACAAAGAAAGTAGAAAGAAAAAGGCAACACAAATAAGAGCCATAATTAACAAAACATACATTAAAAGTACAGAGAACACCAAAATTAGTTCTTTGAAAAGCCTATGGAAAGCGACAAACATATATCAACTGATCAAGAAAAATAAAGGGCACAAATAAAAAGCCTTATAAATTAAAAAGGGTGACATAGCCACAGATATAGCAGAGATTAAAAAGATAATGAGAATACTATCAACTAATCTATACAAGTAAATTCGAAACCTTAGGAGAAATGGACATAATACTCGCAGAAAAATATAACTTACCAAAAATGACTCAAGGAAATTTAGAAAGCCTACACAATCCTATAAATGTCTAAAGGAATTGAAGCAGTAGTTAAAGCACTTTTCCCCAGAAAGAAACTCCAGGACCAATGTTACAGGTAAATTCTACCCATTGCCAAGAAACAGATCATTGTAGCATTATACAGGCTCTTCCAAAGAATAGAAAATAAAGAATATGTGCCAAACTATTCTGTGAGGCTGGTATAACCTTGGTACCAACACCAGATATGGACAGTTGGAGAAAGTAAAATTACGGATGTGTTAAACATGAGTATAGATGCAGAAATTCAATGGTCTGTAAAGACTATATATACCAATATCAAGCTAAATTGTTGCAAGAATAGTTTGATATTAGGAAAACCTGCTGTATTAACCAATTGAAGGAGAAAACGCATATAATTATCTCAATAAATGAATAAGTATTTGACAAAATTTATACCCTTTGTGAAATAAATTCTCACCAAATTAGGAATGAAAACGTACTTCCTTACCGGATAAAAATAACATCACACATACATACACATGCACATACACATATCTAGTACCATGTGGTATAAAATATATCGGATTTATTGGAGGAAAAATTTAAAAGGGAGAACTAGCAGAGCCCACATAATCCCTGAAGGATGCATCATCCCACAGAGAGGTGTGCTTTAGGCCAGGCAGCGCCAGACTAGTCACACTTTGTGTAGCCAAGCAATAACACTTCACACATTTATAGAGAAAGTACAGGCTACATCAAGAGAGCTGTGGAACAATGAGTCTCCGGATCCTTGTAATATGGAGACAGGGTCTGGAATTCAAAGCCTGTGCTTCTGTGGATCTGACTCAGTCATGCTGAGCTACCAACAGTGGGGAGGAAATCAGCCTCTGAGGCAGTTTTACTGTGCGCCTCTACTCAAACTTCAAATAAATATTATCCTAAACAGAAAGACATTCCTCTTAAAACTGGGGACAAGCAGGAGAGCCTGAGTGGCTCAGCTGGTTAAGAGCCCAATTCTTGATTTTAGATCAGGTCACGACCTCAGGGTTGTGATATCAAGCCCCATGTTGGGCTCCACACTGGGGCATGAAGCCCACTTAAGATTCCCTCTCTCTCACTCTTCCTCTAAACCCTACCCACCTCTCTCTCTCTCTTACAAACAATGGGGACAAGGATGCCCACTGTCACTAAAACTCATCAATATTACATTGGAAGTACTAGCCAATGCAGTAAAGTAAGAAAAAGAAATTAAAATCATGAAACTATGAAAGTAGAAATAAGAAGGTCAGTATTTGTAGCTGATATGGTTGTCTTTAATCTAGAAGCAAATACTGAAAATGATAGGAAATGTAATATTTAGTGGATACAGGTTATTATAACAAAATTGCATTTTAATATATCAACAATTAGAACATGTAATTATAGAAGACGTATTCAGTGAAAATCAATGAAACCAAAAGCTAAAGCTGGTTCCTTGAAAAGTTCAAAAAAATTGATAAGCTTCTAGTTAGACTAACAAGAAATTAAAAAAAAAAGAGAAATTAGCCATATCAGAATGAAAGAGAAGACATCACTAAGGATCCTGCCACCATTTAAAGGGCAAGGAAGAGACACCATGAACAACTTGAGACCAATATATCTAACTACTTAAAGAAAAGGGATAAATACCTTGAAAGACACAAATCACCAGAAATAACAGAAGAATAAACAGAAAATATGAATAGCCCCATATCAAAGAATTTTAATTTCTAAATAAAAACCTTCTGAAAGAAAATGGCAAGACAGGACTACTTCACTGATGAATTCTATCAAACACTGAAGAAAAGAAACTAACCTTATGCAAGCTTCTTCCGAAAATAAAGGAGGAAGAGTGCTTATCGATTCATTTTGAGACTAGTATTGCTTTGATACCAAAACAAGACAGAGATTTTTTTTTTTTTAATGAAATTAGGGTGGTTCAGTTGGTTAAGCACCAACTCTTAATCTCAGCTCACGTCTTGATCTCAGGGTCTGGAGTCCAACCCACATTGGGCTCCACACTGGGTGCGGAGCCTACTTAAGAAAGAAAGAAAAAATGGAATTACAGACTAATATTCCTCACGAACATAGACATAAGAATCCTAACAAAGTATTACTAAGTCAAACCCATTATTACATAAAATGGATAATGTATCATGACCAACTGGGATTTATCTCAAGAATACAGGTTGGTTTAACACTTGAAAATCAGTAATTATAAGGATATAAAGGAGAAAACCATACGATCATTTCAATAGATGCAAAAAAAATCATTTGAAAATATTCAACTACTATTTAAAGCTCATAATAAACTAAGAGTAGATAGAAGGGAAGAAGGTCTTTAACCTGATGAAGAGTATCCATGAAACAGTAGCCAACAAAATACTTCACGTAACGTACTGCTGTAATTGGTAATAAGGCAATGTGTCCATTTCACTGGTTCCTTCCTGCATTGTCCTGGACGTCCCAGACAGGGCCACAGACAATAAAAGGAAACAAAAGTCACATCTACTGGAAGGAAGATTACATGGTCATGCACATTGGAAAACCTAAGAGATTCTACAAAAAAAGCTTAAGCAAATTTAAGTGAGTCCCAGGACAGGGACAATATATAGAACCTTAATATTTTCATAGTCTAGCAGTAAACACCTGGAAAATAAAATAAAATGAACAATATTATGTATAATAGAATCAAAAATATAAATGTTTATATGTGTGAAACAAATCATACATATAAATGTAAAAGCTAAAACTATAAACTTCTAAAAGAACATATGAGACCATCTTTACGACAGCTGGAATAAAATGGTTATGCATCCAGAAAAATATTACCTTGTTCTGTACTTTTGACTACACATAAGAATTCGTTCCAGATTAAGAACTTAAATGTTTTTCTAAAACTATAAAATTAAAAAACAAAAAAAAATTAAAAATAAAACTATAACATTTCATGTGGAAAATATAGGTATCTTTTTGGCCTTGAGATAAGGAAAGATTTTTTAAGCCACAAAAAAAAAAAAAAATCACTAACTATAAAAGAAAGAAATGGACAAATTTGACTATATAAGAATTAGAAACTTAAAATCATCAGCCCTAAGGAAGAAAGTGGGATATAAGGTACAAACCAGGAAAATATATATACATATATTCATATAACCAGTCATATATATATATGTATGTATATATGTATATATTCATATATATATGACTGGTTTTGAGTATAAAGAACTCCATGAATCAATGAGAAAAGAATCATCACTCCAATAGGAAAATTGGCACAACACATGAGTAGGCCTTTCACAGAAGAGGAGATAATAAAGCCAACAAAAATAAAGAGAAATATTAGGAATCAGTGAAATGCAAATCAAAAGAACAGTGAGGTACATTCAGCCGACAAAACTGCAGAAGTCTGAAAAGCCATCTACTGGTGGTAATGGGGGTCAAGGGGGTTTCTTATAAATCGCTAGAGGGAGTGTAACTTGATACAGATGCTTTGAAAAGGGTTTGGTAATCTGCTGGTCGACCATGCACTGTGTCCCAGAGATTCTCCTTCTAGGTTCTAATCTAAGAAAATGTGCCCATTAATACCAGGAGCTATGAAAGGAAATAGAAGTCTTTTTAAAAATAGTAACAAGAAAGTCTAAAACCAACCCAAATGCCCACCAAAGCCAAGAACGGATAGAAGATGGTCCAGGCACACTGTGGATTCTACTACTGTCATGTTCACAGCAGTGACCCGCAGAGACCCACGCACCATGGAGAAACCCCATCAACACGACTTTGAGAGACGAGGACATAGATCATTATTATGATCCTATTACTAAAATTCATAAATAGCAAAAACAAAACCGTACATTGTTTAGGTAATTCATAACAATCAAAATACCAAGGAGCCAAAGAGATCATAACCCCGGAAATCCCCATCACTGGGGCTGGGAAAGTGCCCGTGACCAGATGAGCCAGTGAGCATTCTGGCTCCTGGGGGTCATTACTCACCACCATTTATTTACTTAGTTACCTTTTAAGCTTTAAAATTAAACTTTTCTAAATTGAACGTACTGAATTCCAGAGCACAACTCCCAGTTTAAAGCGGAAAACGAGCCCATGGCAAATACTCTAGAGTGAAGGGCTCGGCCCCCAGGGAAAGGCACTGGTTTCCTTCGTGGTTGCTGCGACACCGCTGGAGTTGGTCCTGCTGGGCCTCTGGGGCCCTCGGGGTCATGATGAGCAGCCCCGGTGCTGGGCCCTCCGACCGCTTCCTCTCCAGGGTGCCCCGCCCTGTCTCGGCGCTCCAAGCTCGGAGGGGTGCTGCAGGATTGTGTCCGGCTCCCCAGAACAAACCTAGCTTGTGTCCATCTTATTTGGCGTGAAGCTGCTCACTGGGCCCCGCCCCTGCCTCCACTGTGTTCTTGGGGTCTCTCCTGGTGACTGCGCATCTGGGCTCCCCGCTGGAAGGTGATGGCTGCCTATCCCAGCCGTGCCTGAGCCCCCTGTGCGCTGGGCAAGACTGCAGGGCGCAGCTCCAGCCGCCCCCACCCCACCCCAGGCGGTGCTGAGCCTGCCCTGATTAGGGACATCTCAGGCTCCACCTCCCCAGAGACACTGACCTCCTCCTGCCTTCTGCAGCCTCTGCCTAGGGGCAGTCAAGGTGGGGTGGAGGCAGTCACAGCCCGGACTCCTGGCCCTATGCTCCAAGCCACCAGAGGGAGGGGAGGTCTGCGGGGCACGCTGGTGGACAAGCCAGTGACCCCACTCACCTGGGTAGGGCTCTACACCTGGAGACAGCGATGATGCCCCGGGGAGGGCCAGGCCCCCAGAAGCCTGGGCAGTGAAATGCTGGGGTGATCTGGGGCCTTTGTCGGGCAGACAATGGGGAGGGTGGGGAGGGTGGGCGTCAGGCTGAAGCCTCAGGGCACAAGTGAAATCCCGGGGGCTATGGAGGCCTCGGAGGTCCTCGCAGAGCCCACGCAGGGCCCACGCAGGGCCGTGCAGCCTCCTGTCCTGTCTCTGCAGAGGCAAACAAGTGCCCCTGTCTCTGCAGAGACAGACGAGTGCCAAGCACAGCCCTGCAGAAACGGAGGCTCCTGCAGGGACCTCCCGGGGGCCTTTGTGTGCCAGTGCCCTGCGGGCTTCACTGGAGTCCACTGCGAGACAGGTAGGGCTGTGCTTGGGTGGGTCCCCGAATGGCTGGGCCCTCACCCACGCTCCTGATGCCCTGGACATATCTGTTTTCAACAAGCATAGACCCTGGGCCACTGAGACGCTGAGGGAAGAGGCTGCACCCCTGGCCCAGCTGGACAAGCCGCCCAGAGGGAGGGAGCGGGGTGGGGGGGAGCTCAGAGGCAGAGGGGCATTTCCCCGGCACCCCCGCCCTGCCCCCCGCATCTCTCCTCGATCCCCTTCCCTTCTTCCCGCTGTCCTCTCCTCCCTCCCCCAGACACCCCCTTGCGGCTCTGGCCAACTCTCTGGGTGTTCTCCAGAGGTGGATGCGTGCCACTCCAGCCCCTGCCAGCACGGAGGCCGGTGCGAGAACGGTGGCGGGGCCTACCTGTGCGTCTGCCCGGAGGGCTTCTTCGGCTACCACTGCGAGACAGGTAGGGAGGCAGGCAGCAAGCCCGGCTCCAGCTCCGGGGGCCCCTGGCTTCTGCTGGGTCCCCTGATGCCAGCTGCCCACGGCCGCACTCGCCCCTCCAGTGGCCTCACCTCACCCAGGAGCGGCGGGCGGCCTGGGCCGAGCCGAGCCAAGCTCACTGCAGCCGCCCCCTCTCCTTACACCTGGGAACTCCCCCACCCCCTTCCTCCTTCGCAGGAACTGCCACTCTTCCATCTGCTGGTCTCAGCCCTCCTCCTAGGACGGGTGTCCTGGGGGCACATCCTGTTCTAGCCCCAAAATGGGCTGGGCGGGCGGCACTCCGCTGCGGGGCCGTGAAGGCTGCGCTGGGGTGAGGCCTCGGCCCAGGGACTGCAGGGCCTGGGAGCCAGGACAGAGCATGGTGGGGACGGTGGGGACGGTGGGGACGGTGTGTGGCCACGGAGTCTCACTGCGCAGCTCGGGGTGGGTGCGGGCACACCCCGAGGACCAAGGTCAGTGGCTGCGGCGGTGACTGTCCGCCAGGGCTTCCCGCAGCTCCACGGGGGAGTTCAGGTCCCCTAGGTGCCACAGCCCCCATGCAGGGGAGCCTGCGGAAGGCTGGTGCCCTTGGCCGCCTGGCTGCCTGCTGCCCCCCAGGAGGGGCCGGCACTGTGCTCATCCTGCCCCCACCGGTGAGTCACCGCCGGCCAGGCTACCTTGGAGCTGTGGGATGCCTGGCTCAGACAAAAAGGCACACCTGCCCAGCCTCAGGGTGGGCCTCTGGCAAGCCCCTCAGAGGGCGGCCCCTCCATCACCCCTAGATCGCTGCCTGTAATGGTGCCACCCACATCCACCCCACAGACACACCCACACAGGAAGGGCGTGTTGCTCCTGAGAGCAAGGGTCCCGCTGGGCCCAGTGTTCACTAATACCCTCTTCTTCCCCAGTGAGTGACCCCTGCTTCTCCAGCCCCTGTGGGGGCCGCGGCTACTGCTTGGCCAGCAATGGGTCCCACAGCTGCACCTGCAAAGTGGGCTACACGGGCAAGGATTGCGCCAAAGGTGAGGTGGCAAAGGTGCCAACATCGGGGCAGGGCCTCCCCTTATCCCTGAGGGCGCACAGAACCCCAGGGGACAGGCCGAAGTGCTGACCACCCCCGAGGGCAGGGCGCCCAGGCAGCCGCCTACCCAAGCTCTGCCTAAGAAGCAGGGAGGGGCATATAGCCCCCCAGGAAGCATAGTTACCTGTGTGCACACACTTGAGACACCACCCCTCAGGACGGTAAAGGCGGTCACCTGTCCCCACACACCTGAGACCCCCCAGGACGGTAAAGGCGGTCACCTGTCCCCACACACCTGAGACCCCCCAGGAGGCTCTGGCCAGAGACCAAGTGAAGAGGTGCTTTGTGGGCAACAGGAGCAGGCTCCCCACCAGCAGTTGCTCCTCTCCGCCCCGGGGCAGCAGGCCCGAGAACCACCAGGGGAGACGTCTGACGTGGGCCAGGCTTCCACGGCTGACAGCTGACCACCCCCTTCCCTTGTTCTCGACTGAAACCCTGAAGAGCTCTTCCCACCAACGGCCCTCAAGGTGGAGCGAGTGGAAGAGAGTGGGGTCTCCATCTCCTGGCGTCCACCTGAAGGCCAGGCCGCCAGGCAGATGCTGGATGGCTACGCGGTCACCTACACTTCCTCGGACGGTGCCTACCGCCGCACAGACTTCGTGGACCGGAGCCGCTCCGCGCACCAGCTGCGGGCCCTGGCGGCTGGCAGAGCCTACAACATCTCCGTGTTCTCGGTCAAACGCAATGCCAACAACAAGAACGACATCAGCAGGCCGGTGCTGCTGCTCACCCGCACACGTGAGTGCCCACCTGGGTGTGCTGCTGCCTCCTGGAGAGGCACCGCGGCTCAGGAGTGCGGGGGGGGGGGTGGAGCGAGCTCCCTGGGAGGCACCTGCAAGGGCCGGCCCACGTCGGGGGCTGCTGAAGGGACAGGCAAGGGGCCCAGGGGTCACCTCAACACGCTGAGGGGAAGGCAGCGACTCTGAGGGGTGGGGGGACAGGGTCCTGGCGATGCTGCTACACAGGAGGTGGACGAATGGTCCTAGGGAGCCCCTGGGGCCTTCACGGGCTTGTCTGCTCTGGGACCTACAGGGGAGGGCCCGGTCCTCCAGAGGGAGAAGCCGGTGGTGGGCAGAGGCCAGGGACCCTGGGAGACTGTGGCAGGGGTGCTGGAGGCTGGAGGAGGGCGCACGGACGGGGCAGCGGTCCCCGGGGCAGCACTGAGAGCCCGGGAGGGCAGCCAGTCGGGGCTCAGAGTGTGGCCAGCACACGGGGCCCTGCTCCTGCCACACCGGCTGCGGGCACAGGTCAGAGCAGGCAGGCAGGGCCAGCCACGGGGCACCGTGCAGCCGGTCAGCTGACCCACCAGCGGGGACTCAGGCTGTGTAAGGAGGGAGGCACGGAGAGGAGCTCAGTGGGGGAGGAAGGACGGCGCCTAGTGTCGCCTGCTGGCCAGAGCCAGACGCTGACCCGCGGACCCTGAGCGCCCAGTGAGAGGGGAGGTAAGAAGCTCAGGACAGGTGTCTGGTGGGGAAGGACGGCCAAGAGGCCCTGAGAATGCCCCTGGGCCAGCAGGACGAGCTGAGCGGGCCCGTGAGGCACACTGCGCTCCGCCTGAGCTTGGCTTTAGGAAGAAGTGGCGTCCCTCCCCCTCCACCGTCAGAGCGGGGTCTCCCCAGGAGACCAGGGTGGGAGGCGGACTGCCGCCCTATGGCCTGGGCTCCCCTCCCGGCTCCCGTGGTCTACCCAGACCCTTCCCCACGTAGCCCAGGACTGTCCCAGCCTCCGCCCTCCGTAGGCCCCAGCGTCACCCACGTGTTCACTGTCAACGCACCCAAAACAGCCAGGGGAAAGGAGGAGGTCCCAGGGCCCATGTGTGTCCCAAGGGCCCGGCCCCACTGCCTGGCCAAACAGGAACCGCGGGCCTCTGGGGAGCCCGTGGCACCCCTCACCCCCGGCAGGAGTCTGTCCCATTGAGTAGTCCCACTGCGGCTGGTGGCTGCCGCCAGCAAGCCCAGGTGGGCTGGTGCCTCGCTAGGGCCCCCCTCTCGGAGACCCCCCAGCACTCTTCCTGAGCCTTGTCTCCTCGTCTCAAGCCCCTGCCCTCCCCTGGAGATGAGGAGGTGCCAGCATCAGCTGAGGGGCCCGTTGCCCCCCAGGACCCCGCCCTGTTGAGGGCCTCGAGGTCACCAATGTGACAGCCAGCGCCATCTCAGTGCGGTGGGCTCTGCACAGGATCCGTCACGCTACCGTCAGCAGCGTCCGCCTGTCCATCCGGCACCCTGAGGCCCAGGAGGACCAGTCCACCGACCTGGACAAGAGTGTGGACAAGTTCACATTTGGGTAGGAGCACAGGGCTGGCCTTCCCTTCCCTCGGGGCTCCAGGGCTTCCCCCACCCTGTGCCCCACCCCTGCTGCTCCCCCCCCCCCCCCCCGCCCAGCCTGCCTGGGGAAGCAGGGGTGCAGCTGCCGGAGCACCTGCTCTGCTCTGAGAAGCAGAGCGCCCTGCCCCGGGCCCAGGCCCATCCCGCCCCGTCACAGGGCTGCAGACAGGTGTTGGAAAGGGCCCTCACAAAGCAGGGGGGTCGCGGCTCCTGCACAGACAAGCAGACCGAGCCACCGGAGAGCTGCACAGGGGCCCCTCTGAAAGGGAGACGCGAGCACCCCTACACTCACCTTAAATATCTATGTCGTTTAAATCGTATGTCAAAACCTTAAATGAGGCATAAAACATCTTACGCTTGAGTATTACAAATCAAATACAAACAAAACTACAAGGGACATACAACTCACACGACCACCTGTCATTGGTGGGGCTGAGGATGGAAGTCCACGCTGGAGCGGCCTCCAGGGGAGGCTCGGCCTCCACGGCCTCCACCCACTCGGGTTGGTGCTGGCAGACGGGGGGGGGGGGGGGACAAGGAGGAGCACCGTGGGGGGCCCGGTGCCTGCAGACAAGCAGCTCCAGCTGAGGGGTCACTGGTGCCTCTGACAGCAGACGGGGTGCGGCGGGGGGCGGGGGGACAGGCCGGCCACGTCCTGCCCAGAGCAGCACAGGCCGCAGCGTCAGGGAGGCATCTGCCAGGCTGGTACCTCAGGGGCAGGGCCTCCACCCCCCGCACTCGAGCCGCCCCACAGCTGCGTGTTTCCAGACCATGTTTTGCGTGCCTGCTGGGCTGGAAGCGAGACTTTGCTTTGTCTTTTAAGGGTTGCTGTGACTTTTCTTTTTTTTTAAAGATTGATTTTATTTATTTATTTATTTACTTACTTACTTACTTACTTACTTACTTATTTATGGTAGACATAGAGAGAGAGAGGCAGAGACACAGGAGGAGGGAGAAGCAGGCTCCATGCCAGGAGCCCAATGCGGGACTCGATCCCGGGACTCCAGGATCACACCCTGGGCCAAAGGCAGGCGCTAAACCGCTGAGCCACCCAGGGATTCCCTTTTTCTTTTTCTTTTTTTAAGATTTTATTTATTTGACACAGAGAGAGCCAGAGAGCCCAAGCGGGGGGAGCGGCAGAGGGAGAGACAGAGGCAGAGGGAGAAGCAGGCTGTCCCTGAGCGGCGAGCCCAGCTCAGGACTCGATCCCAGGACCCCGGGATCATGACCTGAGCCCAAGGTGGACGCTCAACCACTGAGCCCCCCAGGCAGGCACCCCTGCTGGGATCTTTCTTGGTCAGCATCCTGCCTACTGCCAAAGAGCAGTGTGACAAAACACCTGAGGCCCTGGGTGGGCACTTGGTGATGGAGGCAGGGTCCCCGGGCCCACCCAGCTCAGGGACCTTGAGGGCCCCCCGGACTCCGCAGAGGCCGTGCCCCTGCTGGGGTTGGTGCAGCCCAGGGGAGGAGGGAGCAGGGAGCAGGGGGGAGCTCCCAGGCCCTCCCCGTGGGCTCACACAGGCTACCACCGGGTGTGACGACACGGGAGGTGCCGTCTGCAGGGGAGTCCATGGAGCCGCGGCGCCCAGGGTACCCGCCGGGGGCAGGGCACAGGGTCCCTCTTCCCGCTGGAGACTCGGGTGCTCAGCCTGAACCACGCTGCTCGGGCGATGGCAGCGGCGGGGCCCTCTGACCCCTGAGGGTGCTGGGAGCCCTCCCGGGGGCCAGCCAGGGCAGGGGGGTCTGCGGGTGGACCCCCTTCTGCCCTGTGACCTCCAGTGCTCTCCTCTGGCCTCTGCTGCCTGAGGAGCAGCCCCTGCACCAGAGCTGTCCCAGGCCGGTGTGGGCCGTCCTTGCCGCTTGCCCCGTGCTAGACAGGCCAGGGAGGAGCTGAGGAGCCCCAGCCCCGGTCCTTCTGGAGGCCAGCGAGCCCCCCTCAGGGCCTCACACCGTGTCCCGCCTGCGTGGAAGGAGTCACAGTGGCCTCCGTCCCGCAGGGCCCTGCTGCCAGGAAGGAGATACGCCATCCAGGCGATTGCCCTCAGTGGGCTTGGGGGGCACGAGCCTCCCACCGAGAGCCTGGCCTCGGCCCCGCTGCACGTGTGGACCCGTGAGTACAGCGGCGTGAGCTCGGGTCCGTGGGACCTGTGGGAGCTCTCACCTCCCCCTGCCCCACTCCTACCAAGTGTCTCCTCCTCGGGCGGCAGGGGGGGCAGGCTGCCCAGGAAGCCCCCTGCTTGGGTGTTCACCCAGCACCCAGACGTGACAGCTCAGATGACAGAGGCCAGGGGACGCGGGCGACTGCCCACGCTGTCCGCCCTCTGATCCTCATGGTATCTCGTGGGGAGGAGACCTGGCCCTCACCACCCCTCCCAAGCCCAACACACGGGGGCCCAGAGCGCGTGCTGTCCACACACACAACCGCGGACAGCCCCGGGGGGTGGGGGGCAAGGGCAGGCTCAAGTCCTGGCGCTGACCCCCGGTGCTAGGACCCTGGCCATTCCCTCTCTGTCCTGGGGCAGGGTGCACGGGGCCAGGCTTAGGGAATCCAAAGGTGACCCCACTGACAGACTGTGCAGGCAGGGGCCCCTGGGCGCTCCCAGGCAGCATTCTGGGGTGCCTGTGGGCCAGAGGATGTGCTGCTGCCCCCGAGCCGCTGCCATGCCCCTCCACGCCATCCTCTAGGACTATAGGGTTGTCCATAATGACCAAACTGGGCTTCACGTGAGACTTCAACACATCTTTAAACCCCTCTGGTAGCACAAGACCCCTCTGGCCCCTTTCACCTCCCTCCCCTGCTCCATGCCTATCAGGGCCCCTGCCGCCAGCAAACCTGACGGCTGCCAGAGTCACAGCCACCTCTGCCCACGTGGTCTGGGACACCCCCACTCCAAACACCTTGCTGGAGGCGTATGTCATCAACGTGACCACCAGCCAGAGCACCAAGAGCCGCTACGTCCCCAACGGGAGGCTGACATCCTACACAGTGCGGGACCTGATGCCAGGACGGCGGTACCAGCTGTCGGTGACCGCCGTGCAGAGCGCGGAGGGCGACCAGCTGCACAGCGACCCTGCCCACCTCTACATCATCACCTGTACGTACAGTGCTGCAGGGACCGCGGGGAGGGGACGGCCACGTGGCCAGGCCTGGGGTCTGGCCAGGACTGTTGGGGCCGTGAGGGCGGCCCAGCCCCTGGTGCTCACTGCGGGCCCCCAGCAGGACAGCGGCCTGGGCTGCCCTCCTCGGGGTGTGGTCCCGCACCCGGCACAGGCGACACTGTCCCAGGGACATCAGACAGCCTCAAAGCAGGACTGTGCTAACACAGGAGAATGCGGGGTGTGGAAATCGGTGGGAAGGAAGGACTCATGGCCGGTTAGTGCTGCCTCAGTGCAGGCTCAGTGCAGCCTCAGAGGCCCAGGATGGCCGGGAGGGGAGGCCTGGGAGAGGCAGGGACGAAACAGCTCAGGAGCGCGGAGCCCCGGGCCACCCCGAGGACGTGGTCTGCTCCCCAGTGCGCGGGAGGCCCGCACGACCCTGCAGACGAGGTGCTCTGGAAGACGGTGCTCCCCCGGCGCGGATGCTGCAGGGAGGGTGACAAAGTGAAAAGAGCGAGCAGGGAGGTGGACAGCGGCTGGGGCAGAACAGAGCCCCCGAGGGCAGACACACGGGCCCTCGCAGGAGGCACAGTTAGGGCCGGGGACGCCCGGGCACGGGGGCCTGGGAGCCTCTCCGAGGCCCTGTCGGGTCCAGGCCGTGCCTGCAGGGGGTGGGCAGGGAGCAGGGCCTGCCGTGGGCCTTGGGGCTGCGCTCACCGCCTGCAGGGCTCCGTCCCAGGGACCGGGCGGGCGCAGCCTCGGGCAGCCAGCCGCTCCTCCCACCCCCTGCAGCCGCGAGGGACGGCGCCGACAGACGCTGGCACAGGGAGGGGCTGCATCCCCGGGTGCTCCGGAACAGACCGCCGCCCGCGCGCCTGCCGGAGCTGCGCCTGCTCAGTGACCGCGAAGTGCCTGAAACCCAGACCCCGGCCCCCAGGTGCGGCCTGGGCCATCCCCCGGAGCGCGCCATCCGGGCCCCCGCTCGCCCGGTGACCCGTGCTGACTCCCTCGGCAGGTTCTCGGAGCTGGTGGACGGCAGAGGGCGAGTGAGTGCCAAGTTTGGGGGCTCGCCTGGCAAATCGGTCACCGTGAGATCGCGTGAGTACCCCGGCCAGCCCCAGGGGCCTCGCTGCCCCGTCCTCCGCCCCCGTCCCCAGTGCAATGAGGGACGAGGCCCCTCACACCGCCCCCACCAGGGACGCGGCGCAGCTCAAGGCCCTCACACCTGCACGGGCTCACGCGCCTTCCCCACACAGCGGAATGGGGTGAAGCACGGGCTGCTCCGGGGTGCGGGGTCAGAAGGAGGTCCGAGGAGGCCCAGTGCAGCTTAGGGAGCAGGGAGCGGGAGAGCACTGCACCACCTAAGTCCCTGCTGCTGGACGCGAGGTCCTTGGACCAGCACCACCAGCCTCGTGCGGGGGCTTCTAGAAGTGCAGGACCCCACCCAGAGGGAGCCAGGACCACACCTCCTCCTGTCACAGTAAGAGATCCCGGGTTCAGATCCTGCTCGGCCTGGACTAAGGGGACCACCTGTGACAGACCAGCGGGCGGCGTGGTGTAGCAGGAGGGGTAGGCCAGGAATCTGTCTGCGGCACGTCTCCCCCAAGACTGTGGCCCAGCAGGCCAGGAGCTACATGCCCACTGGCTGCCCCTGCCTGAAGGCTCTCGGGACCCGAGGCAGGGCAGCCTGGGCCTCGTCCTCACCTGTAAACCAGGTCCTGTTCTCATGATTCCCTGGAACAGACCTTAATCACCAGCATAGTGAGATTTTTCAACCAACACCGGCATTCCCAGGCCAGGCAAGTAAAGGGTCGATGATGAGTGGGTGGGGACGTTGCAGCTCCAGAGACCCGCAGAGGAGCAGCAGAGGGGCTCACTGGACACGGGGAGCAGGCAGGTAGGTGTCTGGGAAGCTGGGCTGTGACCAGACACCCTCCTAAAGCCACAGGAGCGGACCTAAAAGCCCAGGCACACAGGCAGAGACACCTCGAAGCTGATTTGCATATAGGGTTGGCCAAGTGCAAGGTCTGCCTGAGGGGAGATGCAGGGAGAGGCGGTGACACAGCCCCTGGGAAGAAGGGGGTGGGTGGGAGAGTGGACAGTGGAATTTGGCCATAAGGACAATCCAGCATCAGCCACCCAGAGGGACAGGGCCACTGGCTCAGATAAGACATTCAGCCCAGCCCCTGGTGACCTTCACCAAAGCACCTCAGGTTCAGCGGAGGGTCAGGGCTGGCCCCTACCTGGAGAAAAGCTGTCCCATTGGAAGCAGCGCTGGGCCGGTGGGACTCGGTGCCCCCGGGGTGGGGACGGCCGGCAGGTGAGTGGGCACCATGGTCTCACCACACCGAGCCCTCGGCTTGACAATCCCTATACCCCCAGGGAGAGACGCAGCTCGAGAAGGTGGCCCAAGAACAATCCTGGGCCCGAGGCAGCAGGCTGTGGGGTCAGCACGCTGGGCCGTTCTGATTTCTCCTAGAACCCACGGCTGTGGTGCAGCTTGAGAACACGGAGGAGGCCCCCAAGCAGGTGCCTGAGCAGGTCAGCCTGGCCCTCCAGCTGCCCGAACATGGCAGCGACAAGGACGTGGCAAGTAAGTCAGCAGGAGCGGACTTTCAGAGCTGAGCACCCGGGGGGCGGAGGGAGCCTGAAGGACCAGGAGGTAGGGGAAGGCACCCGTCGTGAAGACGTGGGAAGTATAGAGCTGCCCGAGGGACAGCCAGGTGCGCCACCCTGGACAGGCTGGGGTGAGCCACGGGGAACCAGCCTGGGGAGCCCACCCACCCAAACTACCCAGGTCTGCCCCGGAGGGACCGGGCCTCCATTGTGGAGATGACCCCTCCTTCCCTCCACATAGAGCTGGGTCACCCCCTGCCTCTCCACAGAGGAGCACGTCCAGCAGGATGTGGCAGTCACGGAGCGGCGCCGCTGAGCATGCTCCAGATGGAGCATCGCCGGGCAGGCCCACCCAGCAAGGCCTTGCTGATGACACAGGGCATGGGCCTCTCTGGTGAGGCCCAGCTGCAGGGTGCGGGACGCTCCCGCAGGATGTTCTTACAGGGCATTGCCCCCCGGGCAGCCCCAGCAGGCACGTGTTCCTTACACCGCTCAGGCCCTGGCCCTGCCTTCCCTCCTCATTCTGACCCCCGGGGCTCTGTCCCTCCAGGGACCCAGGGGTTCAGACTGTGCTCACCCGCCAGCCAGACCCCAAGGAAGGCAGGGACTCGCGAAGGGTAAGCCAAGTGCCCAGGATGCCCCCGAGGGCACATCTCACCTGCAGACCTGCTCCAGGCTGCCCAAGGACACCTGCACGAATGCCTATGCCAGAGGGCCTGTTGGCACATGGTGACATGGCCCGACTACGGCCCCAGTTGAGCAGGCGCCCATCCCGGGGTGAGGCCCGGGGCTGCCGCCAGCCCTGGGGAGCACTGAGTCGGATGTAGCCAGGCAGTGATTCTGCTAGTGAAGGTGGGGTTCAGAGTGAGGACACACATGTTGCTGTTGCTCCCTCAGTGAGAAAAGCACCCATTTCCTCAGAGGCTCCGTGTTTCGTTAACCCTTTCCAGTATCAGACGTTTCATTTCCTAAGCTCGGGAACTAGTGGATGTGATTACCTGCCCTGGCTCCCTTCTGAAGGAAAGAGTCAAGGTGGCACCAGACTGGCCCCAGATGTCACTGCAGTCTGCAGTGTTTGCCACCCTGAGGTATGCAGGCTGGCCGGGGGAGGGCAGGAGTGATTTTAGGTGATAAAGAGGGAAAAAATCATTAATGGTCCCCTGGGTGCACAAAGTGAATCATGGTTTTTTGTTCCTGTTACGTCTGTAACGGGTGCATGACAAGCCCCTTCTATTTAGTAAGTTAGCTTCTGCTGCGAGGATGGCCTTAGATCTGGAACCCAGCCCGTAACCTATATCTTGCTGTGGTCCCCCCAGTTAGCCTGGAGCATGGATTCTGTGCTCACAGTCCCTTCGCTCTGCTGCAGGGTGGGCGGTGGGGAGGGATCTCAGCGCATATCCACGTGGGTCTGAGCAGCTGCAGGTGTTTTGTTATAAGCTGACTGACCTGCTGTGCATAGCCACCCCGACTTGTGTGCTCACCCCGCGTCTGCAGTGAGGCCGGTCAGTGCTGTTGAGTGGCCGCAGCTCACTCTCCCCACTGAGCATCTGACCTGTGGGTGACTTCACCATGGCTTCATCCACTCGGCTCACACAGCACCTGAGCTGTGTCTGGCTGTTATCAGCAAGCGCCACTATGCTATTCTTACACACGTCTTCTGGCACATGTGCGAGAGTACAAATGCTGGGGCTTGGGATGTGTGGAAGCCCGAATCACAAGAGAACACTAAGTTGTTTTCTAAGTGAGGACATCAGTTTATACTCCTTCCATCTGCGATCAAGACACGTGGTGAACCCAGTCTCTCCAGAACCTACCTTGCTGGGGTTCCAGGTCGTGCCAGCAGCATGGGTGTGAAGTGCACCCCTTGAGATCTGGACTTCCATCTCTTGAATGCTGATACGGTCAAGCACTTTTCATTCATTCATTCAAAGTGGGCTCTGGGTCCACTGCTCTGTTGCAATGTTTGGACTCCGTGGAGCCAACACTAGGGATTTCAGCGGCCCTATCTTTGGTAAGGCTCGCTGTCCCGCAGTGCCCACCTGCTCTTGGTCCTGTACATTTCTAAAAAAGTTTATAATCAGCTTATCCCATCAGAGTTCTTGTTGGTACTTTACCTGGCCAAATTTCTGAGGCCCCATCTGCCTGAAAATACTCTTACTAGCACTCACACTTGAAGGGTAAATTGAGTGGCTCAAAGGTCCTCTACCTTCAGCTCTTCAAACATTAGTCCCCTGTCCTCTTCTGAGCAGTACTGCTGACAGTGGGTGTCAAGTCTTTTTCTTGTCTCCTTGTAGTGTGTCTGCTCATTTTCCCTGGAAGCTGTTAGACTCTTCTTTTTCATGGAAAGTAGGATCCCCAGAGAGCCCTAGATACCCACAGAGCACAATTAACACTCTTGATTGGAGTTTCCTCATCAAGCATCTCTCCGGGTTAGGTCCACACATTTGAGCTCCAAGGGGGAAGCTCAGGGAGAAGAGGAGGGTCCCTAAGATTGTAACCTGCCACCATGGGGATCTGGAGTAGACACTGAGGCTAGTCTAATCTTCCTGTTTTCTTCAAATTCTCACACCAGCAGGGCTTTGAAACTCTCCTGGTTTTATCCCCTGGATGCCGGAGAGAAGCAGGCAGTAGCAGGCAAGGGCAGAACTTAAACTTCTTTACTCTGCAACTTATTGTCAAATAGGAGCACCCACTGCCACCACCCCAGACTGCAGCCATATTTCTGTTCCCCATCCTGTTCACAACAGCCATTTCTCTATCTTTATTTAATGTGTATGTGTGTCACAATAAGCTCAGGATTCAGTAGGCAGTGCCCTGGTAAAAACCCTACTGCTGCACAAACTGCAGGCATAAGGCTTCAGGCGCCCAAGAATGGAATGAATTATCAGTCAGGCTCTGCAACCTGCTGTCCCAGGTACAAAGGGTGAGGACTGCTGGCATGGGTTCACAGGTCCTAAATACCCCTGCACACTGCCATGTTCTGTAAGGTTGTCCTAAAATATCTCTGGACAATTGTTTATAGTGTGTAGATCTCATGTCCTATTTGACACCCCATTTTCAAAACTTACTACAAAGCAGCAGTAATCAGGTCAGTGAAATACTGGCACAAGGACAGACTTACGATCAACGAAATAGAATTGAGAGTCAAGAAATAAACCCACACGTCTCTGGTCAACTGATTTCAACAAGGGGCCAAGACCATTCAATGGAGAAAGAACAGTCTTTAACAAATGGTGCTGGGAACACTGGATAACCACATGCAAAAGGATGAAGTCAGACCCCTACCTCACACCATATACAAAATTAACTCAAAATAGATCAAATACCTAAATCTAAGAACTAAAACTATAAAACTCTTAGAAAAAAAACAGGAGTAAGTCTTCATGACCTTGGATTGGCAAAAGATTTTAAATATGACACCAAAACCATGAGCAACAAATGAGGAAAAAAAGACAGAATAGACTTCCTCAAAATGTGCTCTTTGTGCTTCAAAGGATGCCATTAAAATAAATAAAATAAATAAATAAATAAATAAATAAATAAATAAATAAATACAAAACAAAGGACGCCATTAGGAGTGAGAAGGCAACCCACAGAAAGAGAAAAAATATTTGCAAATCATATACCTGAAAGGCATTTGTATCTAAAATATATAAGGAACTCATATAACTGAATAAAAGAAAGAGAACCCAATTAAGAAATAAGCAAAGAAAAAAAAAACAGGCAAAAAATCTGAATACTTATTTCTCGAAGGATGCTACACAAATGGCCAACAAGTCCATGAAAAGGGTGTTTGACATCATCAGTCTTCAGGGAAATGCTAATGAAAGCCATAATGAGATGCCACTTCACAGCCACGAGGATGGCTGGAATGAAAAGATGCAACGAGCATCCTTGCACGGTGAGGATGTGGAGAAGCTGGAACCTCAAACACTGCTGGTGGAAATGCAGAGTGGTACAGGTGCTTTGGGGTTAAAAACGGCTGGTAGCTCCTCAAAGAATGAAACACAGAGTTATCCTATAACCCAGAAAATCCCACTCCTAGGCATGTACCCAAGAGAAATGAAAACAGATGCCCACAGAGGGCCTTGTACATGAATGTTCGTAATAACAGTATACGCCGTTGCCGAAAGATGGAAACAACCAAAGTATCCACAAACTGTTGAATGGATAAACAAAATGTGGTCTAGCGTGCCTGGGTGGCTCAGTCAGTGAAACATCTGCCTTTGGCTCTCAGGTCATGATCCTGGAGTCCTGGGATGGAGCCCCACTTCAGTCTCTGTGCTCAGTGGCGAGTCTGTTTTCCCTTTGCCCCTCACCCTGCTTGTGCTCTCTCTCTCTCTCTCTCTCTCTCTCTCTCTCGCTCTCAAATAAATAAAACCTTTTTTTTTAAATGTGGTCTATCCACACAATGGAACATAATCCAATCATATGATGTACTGACACATGCTACAACACGAGATGATCCTTGAAAACATCATACTAAGTAAAAGAAGCTAGCACAAAGGACTACATTCATATGAAAGTCCAGAAAGTCTACAGTGACAGAAAGTAAGTCAGTGGTTGCTTGGCACTGGGGGTGGGAGTGGAGGTATGGGGGGAGGGGTGACAGCTAAAGGGCATGGAGTTTCCAAAATGATAACGTTCTAAAATTGACTACTGTGATGGATACACATATCTTTGAATATGCTAAAAACTTAAAATTGGTGAATTAATGGTATATAAGTCATATCTCAATAAAGCGGGTTTTAAAATGGAATGTGCAGAATAGTGTTTAGGGTACCTCTTTTGTGTAGTAACATGGGGAAGGGAAATATGAATATACCTATTTTCTTATATTTAAAAAGAAATAAAACTAATAAAAAGGTTAACTGAGAAAGGAAAGAACGAGAACAAGGAAGTAAAAGGATGGAGGTGGATGCTAGACTTCTCTGAATGTATCTCCACAGTTTTGATTTTAGAATCAAGAAAAAACATTTTTTCATGACCTACATAAAAAGCAAAACCTAAAAACTGAAAACAAACTGAAATAAATTTATCATGTTGATGGTGTAACTACATAGGAAAAAAGGTATTGCAAGTCATTTTTTAAAATTGCCTTCCAACTATTCATTCCTAGAGGGATATATTCTGAAAAGAAGAATTCTTATTACGGGAAGAATTGCAAGAAATTTAAAGCTGCACTCAAAGCTCTTAATGTCAGTAGTAATACTGATATTTTTTTTTAGAACTGTTATATGCACATTGTAGGATAATGAAAATAATTATATCAATGGCACCAAGGTTCTCAGTGTAAAGAGATACAATATAAAATCCAGGAAGGGGCGCCTCGGTGGCTCAGTCAGTTGAGCATCTGACTTTGGCTCAGGTCATGATCCTCAGGATCCTGGGTCTGCTTCTTTCTCTGTCCCCCTCTACCCACCCCCTGTGCTCATTCTCTCTCTCTCTCAAATAAATGAAATCTTTTAAAAATTAAAATTTTTCTAAAAATCAAGGAATTAAAACCCACCCCTGTGTTTCCCTTAACTATTGATATAGACTCACAATTTGTTTATTTTTATTTTTTAATCCAAGTTCCTGGTGTGTCTACTGAAAAGGCCTCAAGCACTGACCCCAGGAGCAGTGAGCACCCTGACCACCCAGATTGTGGGTTCTAAATGCCCAATAAAACGAACCAGGGGTCTTTGACAAGTGGCTGATTCCAAGACTGAAGCAGAATATGGACAAAATGTGCCCAGGATGTCCGTGTAAAACAAGCAAGCTTTCAAAAACAACTGAGATTGTGTCTAAAGGGTGCAGGGGGCAACCTGAAAGGCTGTCGCAGGCTGAAGGTGGATAACTGGAGCGTGGAAAAGACTAATGACAGGAGCAGACTGACACACACACACACCATCCACCGAATACGTAAGAATCTATGAGTTTATGATGAAGCTGAAAGAACAACGTGCTGGTCCCTTTAGAGCTGGCCCGGGACCAACGCTTCCTTTGCAAGTGTACAGAGGACAGGAAGGAAACACTTGTCTGGCCTTGCCTGGGTGGACTGTAATTCAAGGTGACCAGGGGGTGGGCAAGGGGGGAAAACAGGTCTTCACTGAGGACCTTCTGGCTGGAGGCGGAGGAGTGACAGGCCAGGTGGGTGCGGCCCTTGTGAGACGATGGATCTGGGGCCCAGACTCAAGATCACCTGGCTGCTCACGCCAGGAGCAGAGCCTATCAGAAATTTCTCCTGGATTAATGAGGTTGCCAACACCGAAACTGCTGAGCAGCCCTCACGTCACTGGAGACCTCACATGCCTCCCGGAGTGGCTGAAGGGTGAAGCAGTCCTGCAAACACTGTTTGAGCCTGAATCCTATGAAGCCCCTCTCTCTAGCCGCAGAAAATGCTGGTACAATGCCGGTACAGAAATGTGGGGATGGGGGATGAGTTAATGCCACAACAAAGTAATAAATAAAATGCAGGCAGGGATTCTACAGGACAAATGACCTGGTTTATTTAATAAATGCAGAAGGGGAAAAAAATAAATGCAGAGGGGAGGAAGATAAAATTTATAGATTAAAAGAGAGACGTATCAGACCAAGGCACTGTGTCCTTATGAATCCCGATTAGATCAGACCAACTGGAAGTGATGCTTTTAAGATGACCGGGGAAACCTGGACAAGGATTGCAATTTCTTATGGCACCAAGGAGCTACCGCTGACTTTGAAATAACAGCATTGTGCTTGTGTAAAAGTTTATAGTCTCTACGTATCAGACACCAGCTGTATTTACAGGTCAAACGATTTCTGTGACCTGCTTTGAAATTCTGGAACAAGAGAGAACAGGGCACGGAGAAATGGGAATGGATTAAATGAGATTGGCAAAATGTCAATACTCAGTGAGGCAGAGTGACAGGACATGGGACCCTCATACTCTAGACTTTGTAGGTCTGAAATTTTTCACAATATGCATTTCTTTAAAAGCCGACAACTCACCTTTAGCACATCAGGAAAGACGGAAAGACAAGGCAAGTCCCGGGGTACAGTCAGGGGAGACTGGGGGGAGAATGGAGCGGATAGAGGAGAACCAGCCAACAGAGGGAACCCCCAAAGGCCCAGGAAGCGGACAGAGGGGCGTAGGGTCTGAGAGCACCCATCCGTGAGGAGATTTTGAGAAGGAGGCGTGGGATGACGTGGAGGGGATGGGCCTTCTGGTCCTGGAAATGGTGGCTGTGTACAAATCTCACTCTTCTGTGTTTCTCAATTTTTTAAGTTAAATATGAAAACGACAGATAGCTTGACAAAGCTAAGGGGAAAACAGGCCAGAGTGAGCCCCAAGGGAGAAGGCCAGGCCTGCCTCTCGTGGCCAGCAGCGCGGTGAGGATGCAGGCTCAGACCCCAGCACAGAGTCCTGCACAGGGCTGCCTGGGGCTGGGGATGTGGGACAGGCACTGGGGACGAGGAGGGGGCTCCCAGCAGGCTGTCAGCAAGAGGCCTTGGCCCCAAGTGCAAGAACCCCACGCAGGTGGCAGCAGCCGGGGCCGCTGGGGCTGGGAGCCTCTCTGGATGACGGCGGGAGCCCACCACAACCAAAGCTGAGGGGTGTCTCTTCTGCACGTGGTGGCTCAGGACGGAGGGTCCCCACAGAGTCACTCCTCCTCCCTGGAGGTAATGGGGTCAGGACCAAGCCTACGGAGGCCAGCCTGCCTGCCTCTGCTCCCTCGGACCACCTGAGACAGGACCACCCCTAGGGCCCAGCGGTGTGGGGACGGCAGGAGGCAGCCACATGGCAATGCTGACAGGCCTTCTTCTGGGGTCTCAGCAACTAATGGCTCGTGGCCTGTTCACAGACACCCCTGGGAACTGCTCAGAAAACCCCTGTCAGAACGGAGGCACCTGCGTGCCAGGTGTGGACACCCACAGCTGTGACTGCAGCCCAGGGTTCAAAGGCAGACGCTGTGAGCTCGGTAAGTCAGGGGCCGCTCCCTCCCGTGGGGACCACCGGGGCCTCAAGGCACCTGTCACAGCAGACTGTGATGGGCGCACTGGGCCCAGGGCGGGTTTGCCCAAGGACCTCAAACCTTGAGGTGCCAGGACAGGAGCCCAGCCTCGGTGCCCCAGACTTCCAAGCGCCTGGGGAGGGATACTGAGGGCAGTGACCACCCAATGCCAGGGTGAAAGGTGCTGCCCAGAAAACCGGGGGGCTTGGGGGCAGCCAGAAAGCAAGGGATGTGGAGCGCCCCACAGCCAGAGGTGGGTGCAGGGGCCAGACACGGTGGTAGGAGGGGAAGAGCGCAGGCCTCCCTCCCCGGGAGGGGACCGTGGCTGGGTGCGCAGGCGGACAGACGCCCCTGCGGCAGCTGCACCAACCCCAGGCCGGTGAGGCCACAGCCAGCCCCAGGGGAGAGCCGCCCGGGGGGCTCCCGCAGGTGCAGGATGAGCCCCGCTCAGCGTGGCGCCCCGTGACCCCTCTGCCTTTGTCCCGGCAGCCTGTACGAAGGTGCCCCGGCCCTGCACCCGGCTCTTCTCAGAG